GTGGGACAAGTGACGTTCTTGTATACAGCTCGGAAATAGTAATTGAATTTTTGTGAATTCCCGAGAATCCGGATAAAGCTAGTGCTACAGAATTCAGCGGACGGAAAATTCATTTTCCATGCATTCATAATGCAATGCTTAAAGATCAACAAAAGCCCCACCAGAGAACCTAAATACACAACCCCAAATTAAAGAATAGGGAAGCAAGTTTTATGTGAGGCTGTTGGAGTGAAAAAAAGTAGGTATAAAAACACACAGAGAGTCAAAAGGAGGAAAAATCAACAAGGAAATTCATCTGAACGGTCGAAGGAACATTGAATTCTAAATCTTCCAATAAACACTTGACAAAACACTCCGGTCTCACTTCACCCCATTTTTTTCTCAATCACCCACTCTAATCTCGCCAACACCCCCACGTATCGACATCCCATCCTGGGACGCAGATTTGGAAACGTGCGGCAATGGAATTGAATTGGTGGCACTTGCCGAGGGAGACTTTTATTAAAGGCATCCTCAATCTTCAGTTCCTGTTTGGAATGTGACGTGCCATATTAATCTCCTGGCGATTAGGAGGCACCTCGAGAGACCTCCCAGGGGGGGATCTCGAGAATTATTGGGTGAAAGTGAAAGGCCAAAAACAAATATTACCATTCATCGCATAGTATTCGCCCAGGAGCGATGAATAATTGATGAACACCTGAGATTTCTGGAGGAGTCTTCTCAGAAATTTTCGATAAAATACGCCTCACGATCTCCACCAAAGTTGAGGATGAACTCTTGAAATTGTTTCGCAACATCAAAAGGCATCACAAAAGAGAATCACTCAGTGGAATGCTTTACAGTGAAAAACTCATGCAAATATAATTTACGGATGAATTATTTAAGTTTGCGGAGGTGGAGGATGAAATTGAAAGAATTCTGCGTGGATAAAAAGTGCGGAGGCCCCATTGCGAAACCCTTTAAATTGCACCATTCTCAGTGAATAACCCAATTTTGCCGCGAGGGATGTTTAATCAAAAATCAATTTTCACACCCATAAATTACCAATTCAATCTCTTAACCTAATGGAGATGAAATAATTCAATGGAAATATACTGAAAATTCACTCACTCAATTGCGGCAAAATTTGAGAGTTTGTCGTTGTGAATAGAAGTGAATAAAAATACGGAAAAAGGAACATCTTTGCATGGAAAGTATTTCGCAACTTTTATTGTTCAAACTCGGGTGGTAAAAAGGATTGCGAGAGAATATATGTAAGTAAATGGGATTTTCTAATTATATGAAGGGTTTGAATGCCAACATTATTAGCATAATGGAATAATTTAAAGGGGCGGAGCAAGGGAGTAGGCGGAGCATTAGAGAATTTTCGTCAAGAAGCAGTAGGATTTGATTGAAAGTCTGTAAAAGGTTGTAAGATTTCAGCAACTCCTTATCTAACAAATGCTCTGCGCGTGAAGAGAATTTTATGGGATCGCTTTGTACTTCGACAGCATTTCGCTGAGCTTTTCACCTTCGTTCCTCCGCATACAAAAGGCCCTTCAATGTAACTTTCAATACACAATGAATTTGGCAAATTGTGAAATTTGCCAAATTTCCAGGAGGAGTTTTGTGTGAAAAAGTTCCCACGCTTGAGAAATTTTCAGGGGTAAAACAGAATCATGCCGTGGGCAAAGGAATTCCGTCCGCCAGAGTGTGTGGCAAAGTTTCGCAATTGAAACCAACATCTCAGCCGGAGGAAAAAGGCCACCCACTCCTGGGTCGGAGATCGCCTCGCATTTGCGTGAAGATAGCTCATGTTTTGTGTAAATGATGTGCCCAATTCTACATCTCAACACCGGTCTCTCGTCAATGAAATCCCCGTGGAGGGCAATTGCGCTTGAATGGGCACAGAAGGTGAATATGGGATTGTTCTATTCTTGATCTGCCTCCTCGCAGGCATTCAAATGAATATTGTATTAAATGAAGACGAAGAGGAGCAGAAGAAAAAGTCGATGAGAGAAAATTGATTTCCACCTGATTTAGTGTGAGACTGAGGTGGAAAATGATTTTTTCGGTGGCAATCGACTTAATAGAATTTTTGAGTACAACGCGGAACTGAACAAGGAAAAGGAGAACCCTTGAGAAAAGCTTCACTATCTGCCGTCAAACAGTGACACACATGACTTGATATATTCAAATGGTAATCACATTTCGGCGCTAAATCTCATTTGGAATTATGCAAGAAAATTCACTACCTCAATATTCGCACACAAAAAAAGCATGAAAGAACCCACTTTCCGCTGTGAAATTGCAAATTTAGACACACACACGAATGGAGTGGAGGAAAAGAAACATCGGGTTTGTATGAAATTGTGAACAGATGTGCAAATAATGAGGATAAGACAAAAGTAAATAAGACCGCTTAGCTGCTGAAAGAAACCGCATGAGAAAGTGTAGTGCAAAAAATCTATTTTCTTCCTTCAACACCATTCAAACGACACCAGTGGGAAGGTTTTGATGATGGCTGTGTCACATTTTATGCTAAACTTCTCTCGTTTTTCCACAGTCCCTTTTTGGATATGGACGCGAGCAAGAGACATCGTGTTAAGTAAGTGAAGAAAATTGGATAAAACAGAATCAGAGTTGAAAAGTGAAAGATGGAAAATTCACTCTGGTTCACATTCTCATCAATTCTGAATTTGTACTTTGGGAAACTCTCCACTTCTCTTATTACCCTCTAAAATTTAATCTCCAAAGTGCTCGTAAAACCCACTCAAAATGGATGATCTTTTTGAGGAAAATCAATTGATTATATGGTCTCCCGATGCGTGTTGTCTAACATTCAAGTGCGGCGGAGTAAATTGAAAGGCATACGACTAGCGTGTATGTCACACAACGCCTCTCCATTAACCCTTCGCAACACCTCAGCACTGTGCGGTTCTTGTGGGCAACTATGTATACACACAAAAATGTATCGGGCCGAGAACAAGATAACATTGATAACAAAATGTAATGATGTTCATTTTTGGTTTCAAGGTAAACAGAAGCGACTGAATTAGATCCTGACAATAAATTTGTGAGGTGTCAAGAAAATTAAACACTCTTGATTCAAATTTCCATCTAATAAATTACTAATTGCTTGTTTTTCTTTGATTTTTTGTGCAAATGAAATTAAGACATGCCCGAAATCCCCGAAATAGAGTTTGTACATATAATATGGGTCTTATTATTCTTGGCACAATTGTGTGTCCCGTGCAATAAAGCGATTTCATACGCACTTATTGACAAAATTAATGTGTGAGCGGTTGTGATACGCGATTTACAGAGAATTTTCCACATCGCCATTATTGTTGTTCCGCTAGCATGACAGAATTCTTGGGCATATGGAAAATGGGAGAGGAAGCATGTGGAATAATTTAAATATAGTGTCTGATAGTGACACATTCTTCGCCATTGAAATGTAAACAAAGCCAGCAAAGTCACGAAATATTGAAAATTTAATGTTGTAAATATTGTGAAAGTAATTTTCATTTTTAATCCAATTCACCCCAAGAACACACCCCATTTATGCGCCCTGATGATTTCCATTCGCCGAAAGAGAAGTTGTAATATCACTTATATCCTATTTTCTCCTTCTGCACACTATGGTCGCAATTGTATGATTCTTTCTGGGTCTGTGGGCAAATCTCTCGATGGGTTGTCGTGTTGATCGAGAAAAGGAGGATTTATTTTGGGGCCAAATCTCTGTGTGGCATGATTTGACGGGGGTTGGGAATTGTGAAAGCAACTTGTGTGGATTATATTATACACAAATTACATGGCAAGACAATTTTTCCCTGAGACATTTTGGCCCTCTGAGCCGCAAAGCAGCGCAACCACCCGCCGAAATACCCCAGCGAGTGCCTGAAAAAGGAAAATCGCTCATAATATTGTGTTTCGATTTCTTCGTTTGGTCAATACTTGTGTTCGACTGGGGCGATGGTTTGGGGTGAAAGTGGAGCGTTTTTTCCCTCGTGACACACAAATGATACCCAGAGTTTTGGCGGAGGTGGGGCGGAATACCAATGGAAATTAATTGAATATCTCCCCATCAAGTTCCTCCACTTTGGCAAAATGGCAGTTTCATCTGAAAATTGTCCTTCCTTTCTCTGCGCGCCCTATTATTGCCATCCACATAAAGTCTTGTAATGAACTTAATGTGTGATGAGGATAAATTATTATTATGTGGCGCACAGTAGGACGTCGGGTTAGTGGGTCAAGTTGCTGAAATTGTCAGCATCTTCTTGCCATTGAGAATTTCCTCGCAAGCAAATCACATGCAGACGACTTGAAATGCCGTCATTCTTTCTTGATAAGGCAAAGAGTTTCTTAACATATACAAAATAACGACAGCGAACACAAAAAAAACTATTTAATCCAAAATAGCATCTCAAGTATATCAACACTTTAACGTCAACCAAATTCTCAATTACCAACAAATCAGTATTATATGGCACTGTACAGTCTAATTGCCTTGGATGTGGACTGTTTTTGTACATCCTTACAAATTGACCCCCGCAGATGAATAAGGTTATTTTAACGTGGAAATAAATTTATCAAAAAATCCACTTCACCGAGCAATTTGCATAATTCTCTTTCGAGTATTTTCTTGACAATTCTATTTTGAGATGTGCGTTATTGTGGGTGAGTTGCCGTATGTTTTCTTATAATTGTGCTCATTTCTGTGGCGAATATAATTGTTTAGAGAGATGCGCTCAGAGCCAGCAAGTACTTCAAAGGAGCCAAAATTGAGATCGCTGGAGCGACAATCGATATGGATTTCGATTGGAGTCGATGCCATGTGATTGAGTGTTAATAATTAAGGAGATAGTGGAGTGAATGGCTGTTATTACTCGCACTGCGCCACATATTTTCAATGTATTTCTTCCTATGAGGCTTGTTTTGTTGACCTTCCCTATGTTTAAATAATCCATCCACGCACTTATCAAGGACAAGGCAAATGCCCCAGAAGAAGGACTCACCTGGCTCGTGTGTCTCGAATATTGGTTAATAATTTAGGCGGGGAATGCCAATGCCACACAGGACGTGTCTTATTTTTAAAGTCTCCCACACTCACGTAATCCTCACGGACGCGCGGGTTCGTCTTTAACTGCCAACACTCTATCGCAATTCCTCGGCACGTGAAACCCCAACGGAATTTAGGGAGCACCAGAGTCACTGGGAAGCAACACGGCAATTTGGTCCAGAGTTGAATTTCATCATAACCAGAAGCCTGTCACTTGAGAGAAAGGGTGATAAGGAGTCGCGAGATGCACACACTGGCATTAGCGTGAACTCCAAGAGGCGAAGCCAGCAACTGCTGGCGAGGAGCGTGTTTATGTTTTTGGACCACCGAGCGCCAGAATACCAGTCAGCAAGCCAACGAATTGAAGGAATGAACCGTCGCGACGCTCGAGCGACTGCGCCAACACACTCACAGCCCCAAAGCCGAAGAGTCGGAGGAAGATGTACTAAAGTGATGTCACTCACCAGCACGATTCGCTAACAGGTCGCCAATTTTCACTGTGTGCTCCTCCGGCGTGATCATCATCGTGCGAAACGGCGTGCTCCATGACGTCACTGTTCGAGAGCGGATTGGGGGGTTGCGGAATGAATTTTATTTACTCTTCACACCAATATTTGTTGTGTGGAATGTCGAGGAGTTGCTAAAGGAATTTACCTTTTATTATGGTCACTTCCGCCGCAAGGCAGAGAAAAGCGTCTGTGCAATAAACACACGGAATACCCTGTGAAGAGCACCGACATGTGACGTGAAATACCTTCGAAGTCTCTTTGAGAGTGGCCATAAAAAGCATTGAGGTGATGAGTGTGACATTGAGGCAAGGACAGCAAGAGATTTTCCCTCAATAACGATGGGCTTGGATTTTTCTCCCCTTCAGCTAAGCAAATACACGAATTGATGCAGTAAATGTTACTTATATTGATTATACATAGTATGAAAAGTAGAAAAAAATATTCAAAATCAAAGATTTATTGAGCTGTCACGTGAGTGCACGGAAAATCCTAGACCTTGTGGGGTTGAATCCCTTAAATTGATGCACTTTTAAAGAATTCTTTCTTTCTCTCTCTAATCAATCTGTGTGGAAGGATATTTTGCCTCCTAAAAAATGTGAAAATGCTTATCGTCTGAATGTAAAAACTTCTATAAATCTCATACATGATAATAAAATGGGGTAATCTGACACTCAATGCCCCTGGAAGACCCGTGAGAGGGAAAAGAGTGAAGTGTAATGTTTTTAGAGACGAGAGCCCACTTCAATTTCTATCAAAGAGCAAACAGAGGAAGTCATATTTTCCCAGAATGAAGTGGGCTTGATAAAAAATGCAGAAAGTGATTCGGTGAAATGTGAGGGTCGAAAGGTCGGTGCTCGTATTAAGGAGTGAAGCATGATCTGAAGACATGGTGATCGTGTGGAGCACTTGGGTAATCTTTCTGTGTCGCTCTTCAGCCATGGCGGATTATGTATCCAATTCCCTTGACTGATGGCAGCATTTATTTACGACACTAATTACATAGAGTGTCTGCAGTGGCAGAAGGGGGTGACATCGTCGAGAGACACACACGGCAAATTATGGTGAATTTCTATCAAAGTCATGCAAAGTTTAAATAGAGACATGCCTTCACGCCCACACCCAAGGATCAGCAGCTCAAGCACTAATACTGCTGATGAATTAAGATAGAATTACTTACTCGTCCCCAATAAATATCCTCTCGGGGCTTTGTGTGATGAATAATTTCCCAGATTGTCACTCTCTTCTCCTGGTGTGCAGCTCAACCGAGCTGCGGTGGCATGTCTTAAAGATAGTGTGCGAATACTTCTCTGAATTGCAGAAAGCCACACCAATAGTGTGTCATCAACTGTTGCTCCCATTTTTGCTGTCTGCAACATGGGAATTCGCCACACACCATTTCATCTCCCACTGGAGCGCGTGTCCTCCGGCATTGGAGACAAGATGATAAAAATGGCCCCATCAATCTTTCACTCACCATGGGACATCGCTGAACTCTTTTCTCGCTCCAGCAGCGCCCACGAGGGCGGCAACTCCCCAAACGGATATTGATCCGCAGCACTCACCACCCTCAGCCCAGAGAAAAAAAAATACTCCGTCACATATTCCTCAAAGATTTGTCATTTCAGCACCATTCTCCTGGTCATGCACAGCCTCTCCCTCCCCATTGACGAAGAAAGCGAGAGAAAATGAGAGACAAATTAAATGTTTTGAAATAACAGAGAAATGGTAGAGAATAAATTGAGGAAAGCCCACGCTTTTCTCCTTCAGGTAATTCGCGCGATTGTAAAATTCCCGGGCACTTTGCAAACCCCAAAGAGCTCTTTAAAATCAAATTTTCAATTGTTATGCTCTCATTCGCACGAACAGAGAAACCTCAAAGGATATAAATCACACAACGAGTTGCTGTGAAAATTTAACGAAATGGGAAAATCAAGTGCCTGAAAAAACAGACACAGAGTAACATAGAGAGGTGTAGAGTTACATGTGAGAAATATTTTAGGAAGAAAGCCCTTTTCTAACATTGAAACCTCTGTAATGACTGTTTTCGATGCTATGAATGTTGATAAAATGAAATGAAATAAATTTTCTAGCTGCTGTAAATGTTTGTGATTTTAAAATATTCCTTCTCTTCAAAATTGTTTCACAATGAGCAAGAATTAAAATCAAATAACACACTTTAACAGTCATTTTTCGAGCCTCATAAAAATTTAATTATATACACATTTTTACGACAGTAGTAAAGTGTTTAAATTAATCCTAGTCCGTCGATCATCCGGAGTGCTCCACCATTCCACCCCTTCTCACCCCCACAGAAGCTATCATCATTTCACCGTCTGAAAACGAGACACTCTTGTTTTCTCACAAACCATCCTGGAAAAGCTGCCGTGATTCGGGTTCGCCCCATTTACCGGAGCTTTTCACGTGTGTTGGCGCGTTAGAATTTGTGGTGAATGCTAATGCCGAGGTAATATTTAAGATAAGAAGTATTTTATTGCAGCTCTCATTGCTCTTGTGACAATAGTGTGGAATTTATGGCAATTGAAGTCGTATAATTAAAGGTGCTCAGTTGTAGTTTAGAATCTCTACACCAGGAAAGAATGAAAGAATGCGCAAGAGAATAAATTACACTATTGAATTATACTCTTACTTTTGATTATTCCGGAGTTTTTGCAACGCATCCAGAGTACTTTCGTCGTCTCATCCCTTTGTCATGAGATCAAAGAGGGATTCTGTGAAAAATTATTCGTACATCCTTTTTACTGTTTTTTGTGGATCACGCTTCTAAAATGTCTCATCACATTATCCTTTCAGCCACAGTGTTCCATCACGATGCCATTTTCCTTGTCGCGCCATCAACGGTGTATTTTGTCTTCCGTGTGGGATGAAATCAATACACGAATATTAAAATTTTAATATACAATAAAGCCTCCTTTGAAATAAATTTCCTAGTATTTAGGATATGGAAAGTGGATAAATTATTCGTGATTGGGAAGCCAGAGAATTTTCTCACATGACTCCTCAGACGAACTCTTCTCATTGAGGTCAAAGAGGTGAAATTCAGCTGTTTGGGGTGATAAAGGCAATAAACTCTTCCACCACATGAATAAGTGTTTCATTTAAATTTTAGAAATGCAAAATCGTTTAAGTTTTTTCTACATCCCTCGGCGAAATTTTATTGGGAATCTCAGACAGATGTTTTCCGAAGCTCCCCCAATTCGATGGTGGTAAATATTGATAGACATGTGTGGGGATATATCTAAATCAAAATCCCACCGACACGCAATAAAAAGGACCTCCCCTTGGCGCACAAGAACTACATGGAGCACACTCCCCACTATAATTTCCCAGACACGCATTATTCAGCCTGTTCTCATTACTATTCTCACATCATATTGGGTTTCAGCGCAAATAAATAAATAAATAATGATTGCCCCTCCTCCGCTCGTGGAATTTCTCGTGTACTTTACAACTCAAACACAACTCAAATATCGCCCGAAGATGGGGAGAAAAGTTTACCCTCGCCGAAGCTGTGCAACAGATTTTCATCCCACGTCACGAGGATTTTTGTGTAAAAGACAAATTGCAATTTTCGGGGGCACTGAACAATTTTCCATCAACATAGAGATGCACAATTTTCCACGAAAATTCACTCTCACAAAAAGGTGAGTGTGAAACACAGTTTCATGTCCAACTGCAAAACATTTGATAAGCGAACGCCAAGGTTAGCTTATGGGTGAGCTGGGCGATGCCAACAACTCGAAATGTGGCAGACTCGATTTGCAGCTAAATCCTACAGGATAATATGTAATCCTAAATAATTTTTAAAAATTCTAAATAATCTTTAATAATCCTAAATAATCTGAAATAATCCTAAATAATCCTACATATGTAAAGTTTATATGAATTTACATAAAGTTCACTTAAGTTATTTTTTTAAGTTCACATGAGTGTTTATAAAGACAGAGCGACGAACGGAAGCCAAAAATAAATAACCCCACTTCTTTCCTCAGATTTCGCAACAATTAGCCTCCCTGATATCATTTTAGTCGATTTTGCTACGCTTGATGTTTTGCGCGCTTTCAGATAGAGCCAGGCTTCGCCCAGCTCAATGTGATAGATATTTTTTCATTGAATTAAAAACACTTTCAGATTAAAGGAGAGGACGTAGAAAAAGCTTAATTGAATTTATGCAATAGTAAAAAAAAATTTACAAAAGGGATGGAATATTTATTATCAAGGATATTGTTAAATACAAATATTTGATGCTTTTCGAGCCTTTCGCACATTTTGATTTGCAACTATTGGCTTTGCAGTATTATTTTGACTCACAAGAATATATTATGAAATCATCAAAGCATACACTAAAAATGCAGAATGACTGCAATATATTGCATCCATGGTTTATTAATATTGTTTCATCTTTGCTTTGCAAGCTTTCATTTATTTACAAATGAATCCTGATGTTTTTTCAAGCTCTGCCAGTTGAACGTTCAGGACAAGGATAGCTGTTGACTCACACGCGTGTTTAAAACAAAGTTAATAATAAAATTGGAAAATTTTGTGGCTGTAATTATGTACATATGTAATGCAGGAAATTGAATTCCACAAAAATATAAATTGGAGTTTTCACCGCAAACCGCCAAACTGTAAATAAACTTTACAACACAGGAAAAGTGAACCCTTCGGCGTGGACAGGTTGAAGCTGCGGTTTGGCAAAATATTTTGCCCACTAGACAAAGAGTGGTTAATATTAATTAGTGTGGTGGGCCTTAATTAATGTGTTACCTGGCCGTTGGCGTCGAAGAGAATACGCTCAAATTTCGAGATTGCCACTCACCTATTAATCACAAGGACGAAGGACATCTCCGCCACCAGATTGCGAGTGTTTTCGTGTCAATTTCCACAGGAGCATCCCTCCTTGACACTATCGGAGACGAGCTGTTGGTCGAAGTCAATAAAATCTCCAGTCCATTCTGGCGGAATCGATAATATTTCGCCGGAAATAGCACAATATTATTGATTTAGGAGTCAATTTGAGTTATGAAATGCATCCAATGAGTTCAAAAATTCAATATTGCCCGAAAATCCACTAAAAAGAACATTTATGAGACTTCAACGGCAAAATGTTGACGCCAATAAACCACACGATTTATTGCAAACAACTGACGGTGAAATAAAAAAGAATTTCACAAAAAGCATACTTTTAATCTCTTTTTCATATTTTTTCTCAAAAGATATGTGCAATATTCAATGTTATTTTCCGTGACATGCCGAGGCTTTACATATTTTGTGAGCTTTCATGCCGCTCAGTGACTCGAAAAGGGAAATTGAAAAATTTTTTAATTAAATTCTCCCCATTCAATAAATTGCCATCAGAAGTTAATCAATTGTGTGGAGAGCCTCGAATAGCTCTCAATCGAATATCGCTAATGATATGTAAATATGTGACAACAAATTCTGTTTGGCAACAGATAAACCGCCAACATGTTCATTGATAATCGCTTGTGGACTTTTCAAACCCGATCCGCAAAAACCCCTTCGATATTCTGCACTTTCAACTTTAATTTCCACTCTGGATCACATCGCTCCATTATTGTTTTAATGTAATTGGAGCGAGCAGAGTGTGTGGCATTAAAAATGCTCCTTTGTCGTCAGATGGACGACTCTCACCACAATTCACCGGATGCTGCGAAAGTGTCTCCAATATCTAGCCACTGACATCCTCTAATAACAATTAATTCCGCGCTATAAGGGTGTAATCCAATTACGATGGCGTATTATCGAGAGATGCATTCAATGAAATATTTCCGAGGACGCTGAAATAAATACATCAAAGTCTCTTCCATTCGATCGATCATTTATAATAATCAATCAGCCTATTAGCTCGACTATCTTTTGCCAGTGGTCAAGTTGAATTCAATGGAATTCACATTATATTCACGAATCCATATTCTCTTAATCACCATTGATTGATATCAAAATTAATTCATCGTCTTTTGAATGTATTTTATGTAATAAATGAAAACAGCAAAAAGTGAGACAGAAAGCTCGTTCAAGTGGATGAACGTTAATTGCAAAACATGAGAATTTCAGATAAAAATGCACTGGATTCTCGAGAAGAGTCTTTGACCTGAGAGTGCAGCAATTCAGACACAAAATCAATCAATTTCCTCGCATTTTCTCCCCACAACGACCCAGACTTGATTTAGAGTCAGTCAAGAGACAAGGAGAATTAAGTGACACTGTGAGGATTTTGCTATTTTCAATTGGATTCACGTGTTCTTTCGCCTCTTGAACTAAAGGTGATATAAAACAGAATATCAGTAGAAGTTCCTCAGTTCCGTTGGAGAAGTTTCGAAAAGACAATCTTGTAAAATTAACAAAACAACAATGAATCTTAAATCGGTGAGTTACAATTGCTACACTAATGCTAAACTGTGCTGACAAGACATGGAAATGTCTTCCCTTTAGATTGCCTTGTTTGCAATTCTTCTCCATCAATCAATTTGCATTTTGTGCATTCCAACAGATTCAGGTGAGATTTCGTTAAAGTGAAAAATTAACAAGTTTCCCAAAATTTCCCTGCAATCATATTCATGTAATGAGTTTTGTGTTCTTTTTTAAATGACAATTTGTGAATGGGTTTCATTCAATTCATTTATTTTCTCCAAATTATTCGGTGCCAAGTCAATTATTCGAGTAATTCAATTACTTTGATCGTGTCAAAATATTCAATTCGCTTTCAAGTTCGCTTTGAATGAATGTTGCTGGCAATCAATGAAAAGCTCGAATATCAACAAACACCCACACTCTCAAAATCGTAATTACCAATGAGCATGCTTTGGCAAATGTGTTGGTGTTTATTGCACCAAAAGCCGCTGATAAGAGAGAAAGAGAGTCCAAAGAGAGGTTCATTTGAGCTCTAGCAACGTGGACAATTGGCAATCAGTGAAAAACTTCTCATGTGTATCAATTAGAAATTCCACTTTCAATTGTGTGTATTCGTGTGAAAGTTTAAATAATCAGCGAAATGTATTAAATAACACTCAAATTCTCCCACTCCAAGAGTGAATTTCAATCCATTTTCGTGTCTGCCACGGCAATGCCAAATTGTATACTCGATTGACGGCATTTTGCGACCATCTCCACCGCATATCAAGAGTGTTCAATGTGTCTGTGTGTCATGTCAAAGTGCCAAAAAGTGCAATCATTGCCACCGAGATAGCAAACACTGCATAAATGATGTTCCTCTCAGGCCCAGTGAAGGTCGACAACGATTTGTCGCTGGCGATCAGTCGCATGCAACAGAATTTTGGTGCCTACCTCAAGAGAGCCTTCACCAATGCACACGTTCGACGCGCTGACGTCGACACTGGAGCGCCACATGTTATTTTGGATAAGACGTTCTTCCAAGATAAGAATAGTGATGTGTGAGTTAAGCATATTTAGTTAAATTTCTGTTCGACAAACAAATACAAAAGTTAGAAAATTTTATGAATCGAAGCAAAATGCAGTGGTGTTCAAAAGTATATTTTCTCACACTGTTCATGCAATATTAAAAGCAAGTATGAATCATTATGAACACCACTGTATAAGAGAAGAGGGAAAGTGAAGAGTTGAGTGCACTTCACATAGTGCTTTAAGCTTCACAAAGGCACAATTAATTGAATTGGGGTAGTTTTGTGGTGATTTCAGACAAAATACTGACACTGATAGCAATTCTCTTGCAGAATGATTAAAAATTTACGTACCATTAAGAGCGAATCCCCGCGAATGTTGTCCATCCAGGCGGAAATGCTGCAAGATATCCTCACTCTGTCTGTGGATTTAGGCGCTCTATCGTTGGAGTGTGAGTACGAGATGATCAATCATGACGTGATGAAGCTCCTGCCGGTGTCCAGCGATGGTATCCTCAATGCCACAATTGAGAGCACTCGAGCTGAAGGACGAGTCGGCTACAGGATCACAGGAGACTCTCTGCAAGCAATAAATTTCGATGTAGAATATAAAATGGGTCGAATTCATCTGCAAGCGACTTACTCAGAAGGTGGACAGAAGATGCACAGCCAGAGCACAAGGGAATCTATCGACGAGACAATCTTGAAGGGTGTGCGCAGGGATTTCGAGCGGTACTTCGAAGACCAACTCCGGGAGCAGCTCAACAACGTCCTTCAGGATGTTTCGCTGACTCAGATGTTCGATGAAGATGACGATCTCGTGAAGAAGTACGCGCTGCGAGGATTATCTCGCTCGACTGCCGCCAATAACCTCGTGGATATGTTTCTGGTGCAAATTCGCAAGTTTATCAGCGACTGGGGCTACTCTCAGATTGATATTGAGGATTTGAGGAAGTCATTCCGATATCCGTTCGACTCATTCAGCATCTTTTGGGGATCGTTCGAGGCCACCGAAGGCACAGCACGCAATCTGTCCACGATCTATCGCACTGGGGACTTTTCCATTCATCACGAGCAGAACCAAATGGTGATATTTGGATCTCTGGGCCTCAATGAACTTGCGGTGAGATTAATGTCAACATGATTGAATATCTTACGATCGATTTCTATTGTTTTCCTTCATCCCTGCAGTGCAATTATGAGAGCTACAGAGCCAAAGTGTGGAATATTGGGCCATCTGGAAAGATTTCAGCGACGACGGGCCACAACTCAGTCAAATTGCGCATCGTCAGCACCGGATGGATCACAAGCATTGAGAATGCAGCAGACAAGATCATCGATCTGGATTTCAAAGTGGAGAGAATTGAGTAAGATATTTTTCTGCAATTTTCCATCACAAACTTACCTTCGTATTTTCTCACCAGTGACATCAAGGTGTCAATCACGGGACTCTGGATTCTCAATAACCTGGCATCGACTTTCATCTCCTGGATAGCAGCTTTATTCAATTCCTCCATCATCGTGTTAGTGGAAGACACAATAAAACAGCAAATGCGCCAATTTCTCTCACTAAAGTCATGATTCGACGTTCTTTTCTGAAATGATATTAAGTAAATGTTAAATTTTGTGCATTTTCATGAAAAAGAAATTACGCTTACCAATAAATTGTGCAATGTTCAGTGTCTGCATTTTGGCATCATGGGCGAAAAATACCATCGACAGTGCATTGATTGTTAAAGTGCTGACAATGCGCCTGAATTTGCAGGAAATAATCGTCACGTGCATCTTACGATGCAGAAACTGGAGCTCTCGCAAAGATTGTGACAGATCCTATTGCTTCTTAAGTAATTTAACTGCTTCACACAATGCCCCAAAATTAAGTGGATTATTTATTTGTCCTCTTGAGAAATCAACATTGTTCCACATATAATCCAAACATTAACAAAAAGCTTGCTTTTTTACTTGAAATATTGAATTCCAATGAATCAGCAATTAAAAATCACTGTTCATGAAAATTTCTGTCTAAAAGTCGAGTGATCGTGACGAAAAGAATAACATTCAATTATGTAATAATTTGCTTCAGAGCAAGCATATTTTGTCATGTTATTGAATCTTCACGAAACAGTTAACGCTGACTCTTCAAATCACAATAAAATATCAGATTTCAGGAAATCGCAAACGATATAAGAAAATAAATAAATAAAAATTGAAAGTAATTCGATATTTCATTTCATTTATTCATCGAGTATAAAAAAAACGTAAACATGAAGTAGTTTAAATTAAGAGCGGATTATTTGTATCCAAGTTTGTATCTTATGTTCGGATGGCGTTTCTTTGAAGCGTATTTTATAGTTATGAAATAAAAAGGAAAAAGTTTCTCGATTGTCACTTATTGCCATTTTAAGCATAAGAATCTAAATATTCTTTTGCATCAACATTGCACACTAACTTTAGAATTTGTACATTGAAAATCTTTAATAATTACAGTAATGTTGGCGTAAATCTTTCTTCGTCGTTACACCTTAGTTTGTCTCAAATCTTTAAAATTCAAGGTTATATTGACCTGATCTGCCTGACCGAAGACTATGAGTGCAGTGTTATCGCATTGATGATCTTCGTCTTCGTTCTGAAGGGCACAGTTTGATTGTAAAATCAGTAAATCACCAGCAAATGTATCACCAGAAAAGACTTACCGCACAATCCAGCGTGCAATAAACTCCACTCAGGCACTCACCGCAGACCATGTTGCTGGACATGCCGCAAATCAGACACGCCTTCATAGATTCCTTCACCTGTACAGAAAACTGTATTAGCTTCTTTATACTACAAATGCATCAGGTCACAATCTTACCTTTCCCAGATTTATCCCTTTGTCTTGTGTATTCCCTCGGTTTGTGTCGGGTGCGACTGGATGATCTTTCCGCAAGTTTTCCTCGATGACAATAGGTTTAACGTTATCATTGGGACTTTTCAAAGGCTGCTGATTATATCAAGAAAAGCAATTGAAGATGGCATCCAAATACTAAGATTGTTATATACGAAAATGAAAACTTGCCTGGTTGTCTTGGGTTTGCGTATTCTTGTTTATTGCTGGCTTGAGCAAGCTCGCCGGATCCTTGTCAGCAAACGTGTTTCCATCACCTTCATGACGTGAAACAGGAACAGGTAGTGGTGGCATCAATTCCTGAGGCGTGAGCAAAAGTGATTCAGGACTGACATCGCTGTCCTGCGTTGTTGTGGATGTTACCTGAGAAGCTGTTAGATCGAGTGGTCGAACAGATACAGTTGGATTGTTCACTACCAAAGTCTGATCGGAATGGGCTGTTGTCTTTGGCAAATCCTGTGACTGCTGTGGAGAATCGGCAGAAAGTGCAGCTCCATGTGATACAATAACACCTTGCGGCAAGTTATAAGTAATTACTGAGGCAGGTTGCGTCTGAGTTTTTTGAGGCAACATTTGCTCCAATGGTCTAACAGATATTTTCTGCGTCTGTGATGTTGTTTTGGCGCGTGACTTAGCTTTCTTGACTGAAGTATTTGGCTTCTTACTATTCTCTGGCACATTTTTTCTCAATTGCGAAGATCCTTGAGGAGTTTGTTGGACCATCATAGGCTGATACGTTGTTGTCGTAGTCACTCGTTGGATGTCTAATATTGGTAATTGTGCCAATGTTGGAAGGAATGATACTGATGCACGACGCGGAGGAGCAAGTACTCTAGATCTTACTTGCCCATTTTCAGGTGATCGCCCTGATGGTGTCTGGATCGCTGGCTTCGAAGGAAAAATTGGTCGTTGTGCAGAATTCACAGGAAATTTTGAGTGTGCCATCACGTTTTTAGCGTAGTTAGTTGGTAATGATTTCTAAGACAGTGAATGATAATGCAAAATGAAGCAAATGAATGTGCATAAATGATTAACAGAACTTACCTGACACCATTGTTGCATTCCATGCAGTGGAGTGTGGGACGATTGATTCCACAGCGGTGTTCTTTGTGATGTGGTTTGATCTGGTCGAATTGGGCGTATTTGTTCCGGAATCTGTTGACTTCTGTGCAGCTGTCCAGCATGAGAGTTGATGCTTGAATTCACTGGTGGAAGTGGATTGTTCTGATTTAGCATCTGCCGTATTATATGAAACTGTTGTGGCAAATTCCTAATAGCATTTGGCATCAGTTCGGAATATCTTTGGTTTCCTTGCATTGGAAACGGAGTGCAGTATTGCGGTCTTTGTTGCAAAGGTTGCGCCTGTGGAATCTGCTGATAGTTTGGCTGCCAATCTCTCATGTTATGTATCTGATGCCGATAGGTCCCAAGCATATGATGTTCGTTATATGGCGGCGGAGCTGCATCCCTCCTCTGTCCTTGTGGCATCAGTTGATTTTCTTGCACTCTTCCCAAAGTATCCGAAAACGGAACTACGCATATTCTATATGACTGTGAAACCGTTGGTAGATTTTGCTGGTTACTCTGCCACGGATTATCAACAGAGAACTGCGGCACAGACGAAACTGACGGCAGATATGGCACAGATTGAGTGACTTCACATGGGACGTTAACAGTAGCAGAAGAGACTGTTGGCGCTTGCGTATTGGTGGGATTTGCATTGAAATCCAATTGAGCTTGACTAACAATATTCGCCAAAGTTGTGAGATCAGCATCGGAGAAAATTGTGGGCGATTCACCGTGATCTTGTTGGACTGACTCAGTCTGCTGCGAGACAGACGCAGTTTCTAGACTTTGGGAGACAGCCGAGGAAACAACCACCGGATCAGTCACTTGTTCCTCAGCTGGAGCAGAAGCGGAGTTTGTTTGTTTCGCTTCACTGCTTTCACTACTCGCCAGTAATGGTTCCGAGTCCATGGGAATGCATATCATTGGTGCGTTTGTGCGTGAAGTCACTCCTTCACTCGGATAAGCTTCGCCAGCTAGATCGTCTTGCACAGGACTCTTCACCTCAACCTCACCTTCTCTCTTCAAACTGGCGCACTCTTTGGTGCCTTCCATGCTCACTGCATTGTCTTCTGTCACATCAACAATTTCCTTCATCTTGTCGCTAATAAATTTAGTCATCCACTTGAACGGATCCGGCTGCAGATTCACCTGAATGGGACAATGAGGTTCCGATACCCATTTGACGGTGACATCAATAACGATCTTCTCAAAGCAATCTTTTTCATCGCCGGTCAGCATTTTGTATACAGATTTTGTTTCGCGCAAGCAATCTGTCGCCCTCTTCATTAGCATTCGCTTCATCTCCTGAATTTTGCCCAGCTCCTCATCCCAATCGTACTCGTTGGTGTTTGCGAAGTGTTTCATAATATAATTGACTTGATCCTTCGCTGATTGGAAAAGTGCACAGAGTTTAACGAATTTCTTTATGCTTTGGCTGTGGACTAGATCTATTGATCGCTGCATTAGACTTCGTTCCTCCTTCGACATGTCAAAAGAAGAAGTCTTTCTCTGCAGACATTTACACTTTGGAGCCACCAAAGAATCCAGTGGTAATGGATCTGTCTGGCAAGATGTGTCCACAACTGATGGACGTGCATCTGTCTGAACCGAGACATTGTGTGAAATCATCTGAAGCGTTTGGATGCCAATGCTTTCCATTGGTTTGGCCTCAGTTTGTGAAGAACTGTCAGAATATTGAGTCAATTTCTTTGGGTTCTCATTTTCATCATTGATTTTCACTCTCTTCTCAGCCACAGATTTCTCAAACTCACTAGAATGTCTCCTCTTTCTAGTCTCAGCATTCTTCATGGTGATCTCAATTTCTCCTACATCCGTAGCCGTTGCTGATTGTTCTTCATCATTATCATCCTCATCGGTGATATCAATGCAGTCGGAAATTACATTGACTGAATCAACACCGTTCAATCCTTGGTTCAATCTCACATTGTGTATTATCTCCCCCCAATCGATTGCCTCCATCTTCGGGATTATATTCGAGATGCACTCGTTGTCATCACGAGGAACTTCCTGTTCAACAGGTAACTCTTCTTCATCACTTGAAATATCTTCATACACGAAAGGCACAAAAAGCTGAGTTTCCTGACTGCAAAATAAACTGTCGCAAGTGTCAGCCATGTTTGTGATGTTATCAATTAGCACTTCTTAAAATCCTCAATTAAAACTTCAATAACACTACTTTTCACTATCCACAGAAAGTTCATGTGCGGATCCACTGAAAATTGAGAAAGAACAAATTCTATTTATTATGGCGAGCTGTTTATTAAACTAAAGGCAACAATTTATTTTCTTTCAAAACATGCAAACGACATTTTAAGGACTTTTATGATTCACGAAAAACATAAACATTAATTCTTTATTGTTTTAATTATGTTGTTGTTCAGATCAGGATGTCTTTAAAAAAGACCCTTACTTTTCACTGATGTAATAAAAACGGAATTATAGTGGTTTAAAATTTTAATTTAAAATTTGCTCTGACTTTAGATCTATTTGTTTAAATTTAACAATTTTGGTCTCGTTAGAAACTTAACTTAGAAAAAGTGTCAATCGCTTAAGCGTATTCGGAGGGTTTTTGGTCGACAAGTGAACCAGGCCTCGGAAATTGGCATCAATTGACCAATAGGTCATTTGATTGTAAAGGACTTCCAAACTGTCAAATAAATTATTATTATATAATGAAAAAGACACAAGGGGCATGTTACTGCAATTGAAACATCTGCCCAGCATGTCGTTTAGGGATGTGATAAAATTTGAGTGAGAAAAGGAGGAAGAAGGAACGAAGAATTGTAGATTACTATTTGCAACACCACGCAGTTCTAGTAGAGATTGTCGGCTTTCAATGTACAAAAATTTTCTTGCAATGAACGCCCGCACACAATGGGATTTAGTGCTTTATATGCAGTGATATTTGGAGCACTGGGGAAGGCAGAGCCTAAGCGGGCAAGGATTGGGTGGCATCAAATTGCCCCCACTCAGTCTTCCACTGGCGATTGGCGAGTGTGCGCGCAGCTTGAGCGCTTCATAATTCACAGGCGACAATTGTTTATTGCTCTCCTGATGCGAGATAACGGATTCTCACTTCTTTTTATTCTGAATAATCACAATATTTCAGTATTTTACATATTGCAGACCTTGAAGAATACTTAAGCCTCGTGTTGAATCGTCATCAGAAGAAAATAATAATTCGGATAAAGTGAAGAGCAACTGAAAATCAACTATTGTCTACACTTAAAAATAAAATACTACGATCTTTTTTTGGATTCTTTACCATTTTTCATTTCACGTTGTTTAGTTGGGTAATTTGTTGTAAATAAAGGTAAATTAATAAAGGAAAAAAATCAAATCTCAAAGTCTCAGAGTTTCAATTGTCTATAATTTACTGTCACTCACTGTAATATTCGGTATGGCTAAAAACACTTTTTGTCTGGTTGTAAAATAATAGACTCCAGAAATAAGCTTCGAATCTCAATTATTCCACAATAAATGGCCAAATGAGAGCACAAATTGTCATGCAGATCGGTCTAAATTATATTTTTTCCGAGTTTTCCGCGCGTTGTTTACTAAATTATTGATTTTTCTATCGATCTGTAAGCAATATTGTGAAAAATGATTGTAATTTGTATTAAAATGTACGTGCTGTACGTGGTCTTTGTGCAAATTTCTGTGCACCAGGGTCAAGTAGCATAAATAAATATAAACAAGAAATGCGAGATTATCAACGTGATTAGGAGATTTTCTGCTAAACAACATTTTCATCGCAAAACTGACCTAAAACTGACACAAACTTCGCAAAAATGCGATTAACAGGAAAAGGCGTCATTATACACTTATCCTTACATGATCTGTACAAAAAGCGAGCTGCAGATATTGTTCAGAACAATAAAAAATGCAATCTCCTCTGCGCGTTGCGATCACAAAAATCACGTGAAATGATTTGATTTGGCTATAGATGGTGAGAATACTGATAAACTTCTTGCACTGTCCACAAAAGCACTGAACCACACAAACTACTTTGTCAACAGCTTACGAGAGACTGAATTGTTCTCTCTGCTCAAGGGCTCTCTCGGCGCTCCTCGTGTGATCCCACGGACTCGCACACGAGGGAAAATTGCTGTCCACCCGAGTTGTGTGTGATCTCGACCCTCTTTTTGCCTGGCGGCGAGAGTGTTGAGTTGAGAGTGCGGGGAATTCCGACTCGGCACTTCGAGGGTGGCGCAAGTCGGTGCGCGATCGAAAGCGATCTCTTCACTGCCCAGAATTGTTTATTTGTTTATGCTCGACGAAATCAGAGTGCGATAAATCGTGGCTTATAGAAATGCATATTAATGTATTTTTCACAATATTTTCTGCTTATGATCGCAAATTTTCTGGATTGCAATATCGAAGGGATCATATTTCTTAAGAAAACATTCATGTGCTGAGAAATATAACTCAACTCAATTATTAGCTTTTCTCAGTACGAGACGCGTGTTAAGGGATTTTTGTTTCTTCGCTCATAAAATTGTTTAACATTATATTATGTACAGGCAGGGTATGAAATACATAAACCCACAGAGAGGTTTACATGTTGTAGTGTATTGGTGTACTGATCCTTGGCGGACGAACTAACCCGAAGGCAATCCAAACAAAGTGTAGCGTGTCGGCTCAGGTGGTGTCCAAGGGTTCACGTGTGCTTAAGGTGGTCGCTTCAGCACCGGCAAGGCCTTCCGGTGTCCAAAGTGCTTGTTGGATTTGCTCGATTACTTGTAATAGATTTTCAACACTTCGCGATTAAAACGCGTGGAATTATCTGGGGCAAACCCTTTATTGATAATTCAATCTTTCACGAGAGTGTCTCGTGAGAAAGCTCCGGGAACACAATTGATCTCTCAATACATTTTTTGGAGTTTATATAGGATGCAAGTTCAATATCGTGGACACTTTCGTGCCTTTTTCTCTCTCTTGGGTCACTGTCATGAACTATTTTTAAATGCTACTATTGCACGATCCAACCCAATCTTCCCTTATCTACTAGTTTTCACTTTGTCAGTCTTTCTCGCTCCATAAATCATCATATTCGTGAGGCATCAATACTTAATTTCGTAGGATGTGATATCTCCTCGAAGTGTGCTTTGGTGGCAATAGCACTTTATCAACTATGCGTTTTTTATGAAGACATGATTTCTCTTGATATGATCTTACATTCTCTTATAATATGATCTTTTTTCTAAGACGCAATTTCTCTTATGATCTTTTTCCTAAGACGCAACCTCTCTTATATGATCAGGCATGGACTCGGCATTTGATGTTTCTTTCTAAAAGTGTACGCTACAATGGGGAAAATTAAATAATAGCTACTAATGGACCATTTGTGTCTCATTAAAACATCTTCTGGCTAAGAGCGCATGAGTAAGCGACATCGTAAGAGATGGAGGTTATTTATAATAGTATTTTATAAAAGTGTACTCTAAATAACGATTTGTATATTTTTCCCTTGATTTTTCTTAAAACCGGAAAATAGAGCCAAAATTGGGGATCTATTTCACTTGTTGTGAGTTAAACTATAGAATTTCAGCATTAATATACAACAGATTTTCTCGATTTTTATTTAAAAAAAAATTCATTTAAATATTTAACAAAATATTAATACTCTTTGAAAATAGTTCATAGATATTCATCAAAGAGAATAAGCTGGCTGGGATCACACGCATGCGGGTCGGGATCCTTTTCCTGTGTGTCACAAATAAAGAATAATTATGGATTTTGGCAAATTATGTATGTTTATCAAAGTCTTACCGCGCATTCGAGACTACAATAAACTGCACTGAGGCAATCACTGCAAACAAAATAGCAATATTCCTGGCACGTCAAGCAGAATTTCATCGTTCGCCTCATCTGAAAAACAACAAATAGAATTATTAAGAATTTTCTAAGCTTATACTTGAGTAAAATGTACTTTTCTGAGCACATTTATGGGAATCGGTGATGAATGAGAGTCTTCCTGTTGTTTCTCAGTGACAATAGTCGATCCTTGGGAGACTTGCAGAGAATTACTTCCAGATGGTTGCGCCAGAAGATTGTGATTTGTATGAGTGGTTTCGATGAATTGGACACAAAACTGATTTTGAGTGTGTGGCGAATTTACTTCCAAGTCTGCATATTTTGAAGAAACTACAGTTTCATACGCAATCTGAACCATGAAAAAGATATAAAAATATTCAAGATTATAAAGAAGAAGAGATCAAATGAGAACGACACTCAAAAATTGAGAAAAAAAACTCACTTGGGTGTCTGGGTGTTTGTTATTAATTATCGTAGTGTACAAATTCATAGATTCCGCCGTCATCTCGAATGGAGTGGTTGGATCAGGTTGATGTGGAATTATTTCCTCAGGAATGGCACTGCTATTCCGCATCGAGGAAATCACAGGAAAAGCTTGTACATTCTGTGGTCGCGTTGTTACATTCAAAGGCGTATTGCTTACTTTCAAGCCCAGATTGGAAGGAGCTGCTGCAATTGGCAAATTCTGCGTCTGCTGCTGAGCAGGAAGAGCAGGATTTAAAGTCACAGATGTTCCACCAATTGTATCGCGCAAAGGCACATAATAGGCGCTTGCTGCTGTGGACTGTATCTTTCTCTGTGCCTTTCTGGGCAACATTTCTGCCATTTGTGCTAATGACATGAACTTGGGCAGCTTTGGCACAGAAGATCCTTCTTGCATCTTCAAATTTGCCTGGCTTTGTTGGTCTTGCTGTTTGGGCTTTATAGCTGAAGTTGTGAGTTTCTGCGTGATCTCTGGCACATTTATAACATTTCTCAATTGCAAAACTCCCGGATGAATCTGTTGGCTCGGTTGGATCACAGAATCTCTATACATTGGCATTGTAGTCACTTGTTGGGCATTTGCAGGTGTTGGGAATTGCCCCATGTTCTGATGAGCTTCCAATGTTGGAACGAATAAAACTGATGGGTGATGCGAAGGAGCAAGCGTTCTGGGTCTTGCTTCAGCATTTCCATGAAAACTCAATGGTAGAGTTTGCGGCGCTGGAGTAAAAGGAACATTCGGACGCTGTGGAAGACATGAATGTTGTGGTCTCAGGCTTTGAGTCCAGAGTGGTGAAAATGGTCCCTAAAACAAGACATAATAAAGCAATGAAGTAAACGAGTGTTCATAAATGATTAACAGAACTTACGTGTTTCCATAGCGGCATTCCTTGTGGCATGGTTTGAGCTGGATGAACTTCGGGTACATGCTGAATCCGTTGATTCATTCGCAGCTGTCCAGGCTGAGTGTTGATCGTTGGATTAACAACTGGAAGTGGCTGTTGTTGTCCTGCCATAGGCTTTTGCGGTAGATTTCCTGTAGCATCAGGGATTTGTTTGGGATATTCTTGACTCCCTTGCATAAAATGCTGCATGTCTTTATGTGATTTTCTCGGGTCAAAATATTCGTCGTCCATCAATTCTCTATCAATCGGATCAGGTTGGCTATTCCAATGTGTAGAATTTGCAGCCCAACTCTTCACCCAATTCAGTCTCTCATTCCAACGAACTTGTTGCGTGTGAGCAAAGCTTTTCTCCTGTCGTCGGAAAAGGAATTCTTCGGCTTCTTGATCATCCAATGAGCCATCTAACGAGTCATCCAAGTCTATTTGGATCACTTCAGTGTTTCGATTGAATCCCTGAAAGACCACGGTTTCCGTCGAAGAACTTCTAGAGCGATTGGTTGCTTGAGACTCGATATCCTGTAAGTGGAAAGTGCAGTTTTATATAGTATTAAATCATATAAAATATTAAAACGTCATTCTGTTTCTTTCCCTTTGAGTTTCAGGTCAAACTTTCGGGAGGAATTAAAAGATTACGGCACAAATTACGGTTCCATTATACGCAATATAATTATTTTATTCAAAATTACCAATTATACTCGTTTTTGCACTTTTCCAATTGTGTTTCTTGCATTCGAACTTATTCTTAAAACACCCACAATCCACTTAAGTTAAGAAAGTAAAGGAATTTTCGATCTTCTGCAGGGATATTGAGGAAAAATCTTGAAAGAAATCCATGAGGTCCGGCGAAACCTGTCAAATGCACGCTAAGTAAAACATTGCGTCGAGATTAGGTTGGTGAAATTACTGAGAAATCTCCCAGAATACGATTTGTCTTCTCTAAATTATCAATTCCATCGTCAATATAATACATAATCTGTAGTTTTTCTTCGGTATAACTCACCGCAAATTGTATTTCTTCTGCAAAAGACGTTTTTTCACTCTGTGCAGCGCGATTCTGGTGCAAAACTGGAAACATCGCAAAAGCGAAACTGTCGATGTTTGTCGCCGCTGCGGTTTCCGAATTTTCGGAGTGGGAGCACAATTTCCCTTTGACCTGCTTGGCTCCGTGTTTTTCGTGGAAATGCTGGGAATTCGCACAGTGAAATGCCTAAGTTCTCTCGGGGATCAATTTGCGAGGATCAGGTGAGTGTATTTTTGTAGAAATAGCAGGAATTTTGAGAGTAAATCAGTGTTTTTTTGCAGTCTGAAGATTCCTAACCTCACTCGCGGGAAGAACTTCAGGAACTACCCAAAATTGCGGCTCCCCTACTGGTTTGTGCGCCAAGAAACAGTGAAGCACGATGACTTGATATCCCGGGACAACAAACAGTTTGTCCAAGAGGTGCTGCACGATCAGTTCGGCGTGCCGAGCTTGATAAAAGGCGTGATGACATATCCGAATGCCTCAAGTGGACTTCACACAGGAGAAGCGCCCCAGGTGGAGTGGCGACCCTTCATGAGGCGTACCGGTGTCATTGCCAAGAAGATTGGAGAGTATCCGCTGTGGCTGAAAAACGGCAAGAAGATTCGCACGACGCTGCTGCAGGTTATCGATAATCACGTTGTGAAGTATTATCCGCCGGAAAGCTTCGATCCGAAATCGAGATCCAAAATCAGGAATCTCAACCGCTATGGATGTGTGTTGGTCGGAGCTGCGAGCACAGATCCCTCGGTGCTGACGAAGGAGTATTGTGGCCTGTTCAAGGACTCCGGCGTGATGCCAAAGGCTCGCTTGGCGCGATTCATTATTTCTCCGGAGGCGCAATTGCTGCCCGGCACGCCGCTGAATGTCACACACTTTCGCGTGGGCGACTTCGTGGACGTGCGCGGAAAGACGCTCGACCGCGGCTTCCAGGGCGTGATGAAACGATGGGGCTTTCATGGAATGCCCGCGTCGCATGGCCAGACCAAGACTCACCGGCGTCCGGGCAACATTGGCGGCGGAGGCGAGAAAGGCCGCGTGTGGCCGGGCAAGAAAATGCCGGGCCACATGGGCAATAGATACCGCGTGATGCGCGGACTTCGGATCTGGCGCATCAACACTAAATACAACGTTATGTGGGTCCAGGGAAACGCAATCTGCGGAGAAGTCAACAACTTCGTCACTGTCTTGGATTCGATCCTGCCGCTGCGGCGCTGCACCACGGCGCCCGCCTTTCCCACGCATTTCGAGTCAACGGAAGAGCTGCCCGAGAACATCTGGCACGAGGACGTGCACAACTTCGACGATCCCACAATCCTGTATGAACCAGAGTAGTTTTTTCTCTCTTAGGTTTATTACTGTAATTATTTAATAGACAACAAATTGTTACAAATATTCGTCTTAGAAATTATCCTGGTGTCTTATTGTAAATTTTACGAAAGCAGCGACTCTTGCTATTTCTCTATCTTTCGCTTTTGCACCCCCTCGGCTGATTAGAAATCCTATATGGTTGACCGAGAGCAGTGGCAGACAGGATAACACAGACATGCGGTGTGGATTCAGTCGAAATTCACCAAGTTTCAAGTGTTAGTAGAGGTTTTAATTGGGCCATTATTTACTATTACGTTTTTATGTTTTCTATTAGTTTTCCTGTATAAAAAATTTGCATCATTTGCAATCTTATTCGTATATCGTTCAATTTATCTATATTATCTTCGCTAAAAGCGCTTTACAGCGTCAAGGAAGATCATCGTTTTGAAAGAAAAATTATCTCATTAGTAACTAATTCTATTGCTCATTTTTCTAGTTGTAACATAAAATACATAAAAGCCTCTGTACTTTATTTAACCCTCGTCCGTTGTCTAAAAACTGTCTTTATTTTATACAATTCGGAAGATCATTTTATTGTAGGGAGAAAAGTATTGATATCGACTAATGTTCAAATTCAGAAATATTAGTACTGTGATCCTTTCCGCTTAGGTTGAGGGCAAATAAGAGCAAAATACAATTTTTCCTAGCAATTTCAAGAATATGAGGAACTTCAGAGCCCTCAACGTGTATTTAATCTTCTATCTTAGATCTGTTTAACCACCCTGTCTCTATTATCATGTCCACCACTGCCTTTTTTGTATTCATATCCTCTTGAGCAAATTTGTCAAGAGACTCAAAGGTATAAAGAGTGAAAAATCAACATGACCGTTTCTCTAATTTCGTTGCTGATTTTCTACGGCTAAGATTACTCTTATTAGGGGGGCTTTTCCTTTACTCTTTCTCTCTTTCCCTTTTCATTAACTCATTTTACGAGGAAGAAATCACAGACAATGTGCCAATTTTTCTCGTTCTTCACACATTTTTTTTTATACCTCATTTTGGTTAAACTTCCTCTGTCTCTCCTGTTCAATATCTTAAGCTACTTTCATGTTTATTAATCAAATTGTAAAATTGTTACCACATTAAAAGTTCTATCTGTTCTCCTTAAGTTTATCTACAAAAAAAAGAGTTTGTATGTACATTTAAACGTAATCATCGATTGAAAAAGGGATCTTTTAACACAACTTTCTCTTCAACTCAGCCGCAATTTGAAGATTCAAATAATCAATTACGATCGCATTGGTGCACTTTACATGATAATCCTTCTTTTTTTTAATGTATTTCACGTAATACCGCGTTTAGTTCTTTTTGTAATCATTTTAAGCACGCAATCAGTCACTCCCTCTTCAAATGGCTTTTCCATGTAATGTTTTGTCCTATTCACGATGAACAATGAGGAAAGAATAGTGAACAAAATCAACAAATTTTTCTTGCGTATGTCGCAGTTCAGCTCATTTTTTTCTCTCTTAAAATCTTAGCTATAAAAAAAACTGTCAAATTGTCCTTATTTTGTAAGATTTCTCACACATTTTCCCCTCTGTTTCGCACCATTGTCGAAATTATTCAGAGATTGACACTTTGATGAATCTCATTTTGCCAATATCTTTGCCTCTCATTCAATTTGTTTTATGCTTTTACTGCTGCGCAAAAAGAAGCGACTCCCAACTTGAATCCATTCTCCATTTCTCACCATCTCATCTCTCTCTTATTTCGGTGTGTAAATTATTCTACATGTTATTTAGTCTAAAAATTGTTACTTTAGTATTCATCTTCACCTCTCGCTATTTTATATACAGTCTCGATTTGATTTAACACCTCTTCCATCCCATCGACACCTCTTCTCACACTCCTTCGCACCGTTAACAAATAAAAATGGCATTGAAATGTTAATGGGTCGGCAAAATCTGTCGTTGTGTGAACCACTCAGTCGCCAGGATGTTCCGGACAGCTTCGATTCACCTCAAACCACTTGTCAATGCACCTGAGAGACAGAGAGTAACAGAACGGTCAGTATTGTGTCCAGAGCTGTGGGCAATACGCGCGACTCACCCTTTATGGTAGACACAGAGACACGGCAGTCTGGCTATCACATCGCCAGGAGACAAATCATCCAGGCAGATCACACATTCCCCTTTGGCATCACTCAATATGTCCTCTGCGGGGATGAGAAAGAGAAAAATTAGCTGACATTCTTCTAAATTTACGATCCAGTCACACTTTTCCAGTGAAACACGCACAAAAAATCCAATGGAGCGAAACGATACACTCATGATTAATTACGTAGAATTTACTACGCGCAAGTTTTTCCTTTTATTACATGGGAGAAAAAGGGCAGGATTAAACATTGAAGCAAATTTACAGCGAAATCATTGAATATTGCAAGCGATTTGCTACTTTAAGCTCATAATTGGTGTCAGAAATGGGATAAAGATATTCTTAAACTACTCTTGATGGATTTTTCTACACTCACAAAATCCTTCAAATATTTCTACATGCAGTTAAACAACATCGTCGTCGCATTTGCGAAATTATGTATGAGCGGAAAAGTGGGATAAATTGATGGCGAAGTGGGATGACATGGAGATATATAATTCATTTATAAACTCACCGTTGTAAGATAGGCGAGGCTTTGTTAGGCACATTACTAAATGACACTCAATATCGTCGGATAAAACGAATTTGTTGCAAAAAGGACATTTTATATCTGGAAAGAAACAGAAGAGAAGAGCGACATTAGATAAATTTCATTCAATTTATTTGCCCCGCCGCACGGCAGCGGGGGAGAAAAAGGTGATTTTCCCATTTTTAAATCACTCCCACGTGGAAAAGTGAGAATAATTGAAGCATTTCTCTTCCTTTTCGCACGATTTATCGCCCCCGAAAAACTGCACATTGCGCAATAAGTCACGGATTCGCAGCTGATAAGGAATTGTGGTGATAAAAATTAGGTTGTTTTGGGCGCTCTGTGTGTTTTCTTCCGCCTGAGGTGAAAAGAAGCGCGATAAATTGACTAAATACAAATATTGTTTGAAAGAATAAACAATAATAAACATCGTCTCGCATTTTGTGGGACACAAATATAATAATATTCTCCACTCTCCGTTGTTCAACGTTTCTGGAGACTCATTTGGGAGATTATATTGAATGTGCCATCAATCATGACAACTCTGGCGGGAATATTCCCTGAAAATTCATCAAACAGCGACTTGACGTTGCGATTTCTCAAAACTTATCAACACGCCCAATGATAAGGGAACTGGAGCAAAGAGATCCCATATATTGCTCCACTGGCGTGCCAAAAATAGAAGAATAACAGCAAGAGAAGATAGGACACTTTCTTCGGCACGAAGGCAAACAAACTGATTATTTTGACTATCTCTCCTCGCGCACTCGACATGAGTTCATCTCTTAAAGCCAGAGCCAAAGAGCGCACTTTATTACAATTTGTTGCGACTTAATGCTCACTCTTTTCACCATATCGTCTGTAAATTATCAGCATATAATTTTTTTTATTGTATCTCTTTCTTCAATTTGAGACACTCGCCGAGGACTTATAGAGAGAGAGACAGAGAAAAAACACTGAAAGAGTGCTGATTGTCAGCAAGTTTTGCCTCTGTCATGAGACATTTTAATCACTCGCTTGCATAAAAAAAAGGTTCCTCCGGGTTTATCAAGGGAGTAACATTTTAAATGTGGATAAAAGAGCGCCCAGAGAGTTGCGAAATACACCAGATATTGCAGCGCTCGGAGTGATTTTAGCGTCGCCACTGAATATTTCACATTGCCAACAGAATGTGTGCATAAATATTGTCATCACTGTGGTTGGAAAAAAATAATATTTACAGTGATATTCACCATAAATTCCCTGTCGTCTCGCCCGTCGAATAATTGCATCTGAACTCACGACGTCTCGACCACCCTCAAAGTCAGGGATACACGTTCCAATTACCACCCCCATCTTCTCATTTCACACCACCTTTTTTAATCTGTGTAAATTCAATTTCTCTACCACTCAGCTCGACACTCTGGACGCGAAGTCACTGAGCTTCACATTTGCTCTTCTCACTCGTTCCAGGTATAATTTGAGCAAAACGATCTTTTCATTAACACTCACAGAATTCTCTCTGTTGCTTTTATCACACCAAACTGCCACTATTCTCAATGTATAGCAACACTTTTTGCCCTATTGTCTGATCCAGTTGATTTTATTGGGCATTTTGTTGGCAGTAAATTTGTCTGATAATTGCCAGAGATACCATGCACTGTGCGAGTTCACCATCACCAGAATTTCATGTATTTTTAATAGTTGTGCGCGCAGAGAGAACAGAAGGGAATTAAAAGGACATGAAGGCAGAGAAAAAATCAATCAAATTTACGATATTTTCCCTTCCAGCTTTTCCTCATTCAATTCCATCAGCATTTTTCTCCGTCTCTTCCTCGAGAGAGAGAGCGAAAAAATGCTACACACTCACGAAGGTTCCTAAGCACATGTTTCACTTCCTTTCAGCCACCCGCCTTTCGTGCCTCGCCTCCTTCGTCGTGTCTGTTTACTTATTTCATGAAGAAAAAAAGGGATGAATAAAACCACCCACTGATTATCCACCAAATCGCACCAAATCGATTTTCCGCAAGCAACTTGAAAATTCCCTGAGAGTGTCTCTATACACCAGCCAAGTCACTGGCTCGCAAAGAAGAAGAAGTAGGAGGAATTCGTCCAAGAATGAGTGGCCTCACATGAGGAGTGACACTGAGAAAGTGTGTTGACTACACAATTTCCTCAATAAGACTGCCGGTTCGAGTGATATTTTTTCTCTTCACAACAACTCTATCCAAGTGGGAAAAAAGCGCCATGAGTGAGGAACTTTCAACGGAAAGCATTTGATAGAATATAAAGCGATACACCTCTCCATACATTCACACGCTTTCTCCCACTCTCTTCGCATGTTCTCCACCACGGTCGATTGCCATTGTCAACTGAATATTATTACTAAATTATATACAGCCACCCTCAACAGTCCAGACACAAGCATATTCGCAGAAATTGCAGCCCGCTCTGCGATTATTGCTTCCTCTTTTTCCCGTGCAAAGGATCTACGGTTTTAGACTTATCTAGAAATCACACATAAAAATAATGTTTTGTGAAATGAAAAATCTTTCTTATTCTTTAGACTTTAAGATGTTAGACTAAATTTATGATCTTTAAGAGTCTATTTTCGCGAGAAAAAGTTTTTGCGAGTTTGAAATGATCTCAATAGAACTTATTGTTCTTTGTTCTAGTTAACATATTTTGGTGAATTATTGTCACTGAAGTGAAGAAAACGCGAAAATCGTGAGATGGAAAAATCACACGATTTTGAGTGGTCTACGCAATGTTTGTATTTGCGCGCGTGTGCTCGAGCCTCAGACGGCGATTAGCAAACACGGGCAAAATATTACTATTGGGAAATTACGACTGTGATTCCCGTGCTTTTAACTAACCATCTGAGATCGTCTTTCTTTCTCTATTCAGTCGTTTAGACCTGATCTACAAATTATTTGATCCACCCTATATTTTGTCACAACACAAATTGCTCATATTGATTTTGCCGCTCAATTCTCCGGGCAGTTCCGACAACATTCCACATGCACACTCATTACAGAGGGTGGCCGGAGTGGCGAAGGCGACTGGAAAATTCCTGTTGGGAAACCCACCATAGCAGCACTGCCCCAAACCAGCGCCTGCGAGATCATCATTGATGATAAATTACCTATAAAATATTCATTGAGACATTTTCAGTGTGAGAAAGCACTGAGCGCATCAAATTTATGTTCAACCCACAAAAAAGTCCTATAAAAGGATAAAATTCTCGCCTGAATGCTGATGCCTAAATATGGCAGTTTTGTGCCAGAGCTCTTCTCTTCAGTACTTTGAAATCCAATATTTGATCCCTTATCAATTGCAAAGTGACGAATCGTGAGAATCTCATACAAAGTTACGTCAGAAAGTCATGATTTTCTTCGTAGCACAAAAGGAGGAATTACCCAGTAGCAATTCCTTATCACCACTCACACGATATTGCTTCATTAAACTAACCACGGCACCTCATTACAATATTTCACACGAGTTTCTCTGGCTTGAACAATAGAGGGTCATTTTTGCTCCACAAATATTTTTAAAGGAGATTTATGGCCACGAATAATTTCTCCGCACGGGGCAATTTTCCTGCAGGTCTGTTAAGATTTTTTTTTTACGATTCAAAAGGACTTCAACCACATAAAAATATTGAATCACTCTTTTCCACCTGGTCTTGTGAAAAAGCAATATATTTTTATCGTTCCCGTTGATCGTCGCATTGATGGCATGTTAAGTTAAGGGGTAGAAATTGCGAACTTTAACTTCTAACTGAGCTTTTTTCCATCAAATTCATGCCTAAATGGATTTTACACGACTAGCAAGAACTTCTTTCTTTTTTTATGCTGTGAGGGTGAAACTAGTGCGCATTTTCGGGCACATTTGCTGACCCTTCTTTCACCCCGAAGGCACACACTTCCTTTTCTCCCTGCGCCGCTTGTCTTATCTTTGGCTAAAATTACAGAACACACAAACAATAAATTCATCCACTTTTGACGTGCCTTCGATACAAAATATATCAACCAATGTTGATGAACGCTAATGTATGTTTCCAGACAACACACAATTTTCCATCAAGCATTCTCCAATGATTGCCCTCAAGTGCTTTCTAACATTCCCTCCCCCATCTCACATTGTCAGACACTCTCAACCACTCACTCGACTCGTCCACAAAAAAAGCTTCCACATCCACTTCAAGCCTCGGGAGTGAATATTTGATGGAGTCTTTAAAAATCCCCTCGCGCGCCGACCCTTTAAAGTCTCACGCAATTCCTGCTTCCACTTTCAGCGTGGAAATGTTGATCAAACAGCCGAGCTTTGATGGCGAAAATGCAATACGTGAGAAATCAATCCCGTACGGCACCAGCAAGTCCATTGCCAGCGTATCGCCATGAATGTTTGATACGGAAAATCGAGCGTTGACTCATGTTATCTGAACAAGAGGAGAATTTCTCTCGCAGGCGAATTTATTATTGAACAGGGGCAAAAATGTGGCCACTGCCTCAATAAACTAGTAAATATAACTGCTGTGTCACTAGTTGCCTCAAATATCAATGGTCAAGTGTTTTCCGTATCACAATAACTCTTCTACCAAGGATGTGACTTACCGCATTAGCACACATGGATGGTTTTCTCTCCAACTTTTATGGAGAACAATTTTTAAGTATTGTTTTCGGCTGAAAATAGTCTCAATCGAAAGGCAATGGTTTGGTTAGTGGTTAAAAGCACACTTTGGCTCACTGAAATAGGATTTATTGCCTCAAAATAGCACAAATAGTCTCCAAATTGATGACTTGCGAACATATTTGCACTTTTCTTTTGTAGTTTTACAATTTATTGTGGAAAAAGATTCACAAGAGAAGAAAGTGTGAAGTGAAGAAGGATTAAAAAATACAGAGAAAAAGTATTTTAACACTTTTGATAACCAGAATCTGGCAACCAGTCAAAGCAAATCCCATCCAACTGAAGTGCCATCCAAATTTCATGTATGATAAGACCGTTAAGCAGTAGTTCTATGACATCCGAAGCCAAAGCTTCCCAAAGTGGTCAAATTTCTGATTGGCCCTGTGGCGAAAGGAGGATATCTTATGCATATTTACCCAACAACACCTACCCTAGCACATTAGTGAATATGAGGAAATTTCCATGAAATCTGCCTCGGCCCCAAACTATTTGAACTTTCGACCTTTCACACACTCACGCTCTTAATGGTCACCTCCAACTGGCGACGTCATAAAAGGCAACGTCATAGTTGTGCAATAAAAACATTTCCATGTTTTTCGAGACTTTCGGTATTTTTCTCGCTCAGCCGGAAAAACACCTCGCGAACACACTTTTCCCCTAAAACTCTCTCTCTCTCTTTCACTTGAGCGTATAATAAAAATTTTATTTTTGGGTGAAATTACCATAAATTTATTTGTTGACATCATTGTGTGAAATGACGTCATTTGGGGGCCTCAATCAGAGACCCCCATTTGCATTTGGCGGCAGGGGAAGAAGGTAGACGAGATAGGCTTAGATGGGATTTTTTATTCCACTAAATTGCCTCTTGGGGATCTGAGACTTGGGCACGAAGAGGAGTCACACAACCGTCATTAGAGCCCCGGGAAGTATCGTGAGTTTGGGGCGAGAGGGTGTTAAAAATTCATTGTCAGAGGTTTACGAACTCACTAAATAATTCCTCAGCATTCACCTCCTGGATGGCTAGTGGGCGGGAGTGCCTGAGAATCCCACATTTTCCGCATTTCCCATCGACGAAGGAGTGGTTTTGGTGTACGATAAAAAAACATGCCTAATTTCTCACATAGTAAATCATGTGGAAAAAATGCTTTTCATTTTCCCTCCTCTTGAGCAGAGCTTTTCTTATTCACCTCTTTTTTTTCTCCATGCGCCTTTCGTGTTGTGCACAACAAGAAAAAAAAATCGGTTTACGAAGGGTGAGTTTAGGTCTTTTTTTCACATCCTCTCCATGGATCGCCTTAAACAAATACTTCCGTCCACTTGCACACTATCGAAAATACTCAATCTGAGAGACCCAAAACGGTGGACAGTGACGCGAGGTCGGAGGATTTAATCACGCAACATGACGTCATGGATCAAAATGTACATTATGACAGAATAATAACGCCCCGCAGAGTCATCAAGCCAAAGTTCAAGGTTTATTAGGAGAATCTCTCTCTGTGTGTGCGAGAAGTGAGAAAAATGCGCGCCCAGCGCACGAATCTTGGGAATTTTTTAATAAAAAATACTCAACTTTCTTCGCAATTTCCTCCTCTGTCTTTATACGCATCTCTATGTTCTCTTTCACTGCCAACCCCGTATGAGCCTTTTCCTTGCCTTCAAATTCTATTAGAATTATATTGCTCTCTCTGTGCTTGTTGACTTGGACATTATGAGTGAGAAACAGAAGGGAAAAAAAGACGGCAATGAAGGCTTCTACGTGACAAAGGAATGAGAGACACACGCGAAAAACGGGAACGAAGAAAAAATGTGCAAATAATCTCCATGAACATGATGTTCAGAGAGTCTAAATAGACAACAACAAAAATGAGGAAAAAGAAGTTAAATGTGATGAGAAATTCTACTCGACTCATTTGCAAGTCTAAAAGTACTCATAGAACTACATAAATTGCCATTTAATCCGCTCTGACTAACATTAAAATTAGTTAAATTATCCAGAAATTTAACGACACTTAATAATCCAAACTATTTCCAGGCTTTCAGCCAAGAACTTTTGCGTTGCTCCACGCGATTTTTCCAACACAGAAAGTCACACACTCGCACACAAAGTTTCTTTGTGAGAAACACCGACAAACTATGCCGGTGAGTGCATTTCCTCAATATCGATTTCCCGTGGAAGGAAAAACACGCGAGAAAAAGCATCATAGAGACCCAAGAAGTGTGCTTAGGCTATTGCCAAATCTTCAACCACTTCAGCAAGAGCCGCTGTTCATGTGCAATTCACTTATGAGGGGACAAAGAAGAACAAGAGAAGAGACTCTGGATCACGAAAACCTCTGTGATAATTAATGCGGATTTCAGGCAAACTTGCTAATTGCTTTATGTCAGAGATGTGCAAAAATACAACAAGACGCTACTGAGGAAGTTCACATCGGGACATTGCCATTTCCTCCCGGCCAGACCGACAGCAGACAGTCTGGAGAGGCGCGCCGTGCAATATTGAAAGTGCTGTTGCAAACATGGTGGCACTATTCCGAAACTTTGTGTCTCTTCCCTCTTCAATTATGCAAATTTCATGTTAATAAAGCCGAAAAGTGGCGCTTTTCAGTACTTTTTTTTTCCACCCAAACTCCCATCAAACTTTTGCTCTGATTGCAACATTTTTCCTAATTAATGGCAACAGCCATGCAAGAGGAGTTTTCGGGCCAGAAGATCGCATCTCGCAAAAGAGATGAAGTGGGAAATATTGAGGAAAAAAGATATCGACGTGGTATTTTTTTTTGTGGCGTAGAAAAGGTCAAAGTTTCCACTTTGCTATCAGTTAAACGTGCTAAAAATTAACTGAACACAGAAAATTGCCCGAGAGACTGAAGATGAGCGCAATGAAGGCTGATAGCCCAGTTAATGAAATATTTTATCGACGAATTCTTACACCACAAATAAAGTCTGAAATTTCCTTTCTGATAATCCGGTTGGCCTTCATTCTCAACCGCAAGATTTTCAGTACAATTGAGTTATTCCTTTTGATACACACTTTTGGACATTTAATCATTACCCTGACACTCGCCAGACAAGCAACAAGTGCAAGAATTAGCATAAAGATGCATATCTTCAGTGTTTAAACCTTAGCAAATAGCAGATAAAGAAATTTATCCCCCAAATTGCAGTCAAAAGAGAAAAAAGAGCTTTGAAGAATTGACTCTAAATGTTCAAAATATCAAATATTCTCTCACAAATTCAATGTTTTATCGACGGTAATCTCTTGATATCATCATCAGAATAATTTGGGATTCTAACCAATGAATTTTTACTATTCTCACAATATGAATGATAAAAGTATCGAATTCTGTAATCGTCCTTTTAATCAACGACTGAGTAATGAAATCCACTTTCTTGCAATTAAGTTCATCAAAAAATGGTTTGTCCAAAAGCAAGGCAGCTTTCCTCTATTCGAATGTCTGAATGAATTAATTTATGAAAATTATTGTTTGCATCAAAGTGTGTTTTTTTTGTATATTGCAGACATGACTCATAACAAATAAAATCACCAATTTTACCTTGGCCGTGGAAAATAATGACTTTTAGCGAAATAAAATTCCCGGTTTTCCCATAAAACGCCAACAATGCGCTGAAGATTTTCGCGTCTTTGTTCGCGCGCGCTGAGTCTTTGTCCCGCGCGCCGAGTGCAATTGGCCACACTCGCTGGCCAGGGCGTTATCAGTGGCGATAAGGAGTGAGTGGAGGCGCCGAGGGGCGTTGGAGGATGCTCACCTGCTCTGTACGTACCATTGAGGGACCAATGCGAAGGCAGCGATGTGGCCGTGAAGACGCGATTGAGCGTGAGGGCACTGGCCACGTGAGCCTCGAGGGGGCTCGCGTCGTCTGGGCTGAGGTGCTCGAACTGCTGGATGGAGATGGTGTCGTGGCCCCCGCTGGCGCCGGCGGCGTCCCGTGGCCCGCCCGCCGCGTTCTGCAGGTCGGGCACCGAGGAGAGGCTCCTGGCGCGCTGGCGGTCCTGCGACGTGGCGGCGGCGGTCATCTGGATGCCGGGAATCGCGCGCAGGAGGTTGAAACCGGCCCCGCCGCCATTCACCACGTCGCTGCTGCTGCTCGTGGAGAAGGTCCTGGTGCGGGGGCTCTGCTGGTGGTGGTGCTGGTGCTCCCCGCCGTTTGCCGTACTCGCTTTGGCACCCATATCACAAACTTCCTGGACACACAGAGTCTCTCTCTACACTGCCGGGGATGCTCTAGGCCTCGCGGGGTGCAATCATGAAATGGTCACTGGGCGTTCCGGCTCCCGCACCGTCCCCCAGATCTCTGGCATCTTGCACGCCGTCCCCTGACCGCACAGTCTCACAGATCCCACAAGGCCAGGAAGAGGAGAGCCAAACAAAGCCGGAGATAAGTCTCTGCGCTGGGAGCTCTGAGCCACCCAATTTCCCTTCACATCATCCAGAAGGGGACACTCTGCGAGCTAATCACTCCCCGGGAGCCACTGCTGCCAGTTTGGGCCTCCTTTTTCCACCCACCCTCTGTGTCCGGATGTTTTCGCCCCGCACTGTTTTTCTTTCGCTGCGTATTTCCCGATCAGGCCACTTTCGTCCCACTCGCGCTCACCGCATCCCCCGAATTTCCACGCAAACTGCTCACCAGCGGCCTAGGATGCGCCACTGTAATTCAATTACCACGATTTTCCAGGTAATTTAATAAATAAAAGCCTTTTTTCGCTACGTAATATTATTTTTGCAAATTCCTTCGGTCTCCACTTGTCACACTGACACCCCGCTCCGAAACACTCTTCCGGACCACGAACCCACCCGACATCGAACCGAAGGGGAAACATAGAAACTGGGGGCATTTGAAATTCCATCCGCTAACTGCAATCACTCCCCAATTTGCGGAAAGAAAGAAAAGGAGTTCTGAAATATTACGAAAATTCACAAATCAATGTTGTTTATTCCATTTAATCTCAGTAAAACAATACTATAACTCCTAAGCGGCTGACTGACTTCGATTGTACATCTTTTGATGCCTATTGTCTTGCTTCTCATGATGTTTTCCAGTTTTCCCGCTCACACCACTTCCTGAATGCGGCGGAATTTCTGGCAGAGTGACTTTGGGATGAGATTTCTTCTTCTGCTGATGATGTCTACTCTCGTTGGCTGCTGACTTCTGCTCAGCTTCTTTGGCCATTCCCGATTCGGCGTCGGAGTCCTTCTTGGACGACGATGACGGTCCCATGGAGAGCACCTCAGCCAGAGTGGCGGCTCCGTGAAGCTGAAATCATCAGAACACCAGATCAGTGATGACTGGAGTGCGTACAGGATGTGGGTGAATTCCCCAGAAAGACGCCTGTAGAGATCTTTGATCTCAGCCGTAAATATTTACACTGAGAAGCGGAAAAGTGTTTCGCGGGTTTTTATTTCCCATATAAGAGTGAAAATTTGCAGAATATCTCAAGAATTTCGTGGCTATTTAAACAAGAATTCAACGGAGAAAGGAGAGCAGAATGTGCAATGACTCAATTGCGTCTCTCTTAAATTGTGAGCAGAACCAGATGAACACTGGTTGTATGCAATGGGAAAGTAATCAGTGGGACTCATAAGAAAAATCGGATTTACACTGCTAAAAATAAGCAACGAGAAATTACCAAATTTTACCTACACTCGAAAATATGTCTTATGGTTTGTGTCAATTGCTGGTTATCATAGTTGATATTTACATTTAGAAAAATAATATATTCTTGAACCAAGAAATCTAGAATTCTTGGACTAAAAGAAAGGAAGTATTTTTTTCAAGAATTCAAAAATTTATGGCATACAAAATAAGGAATTTTCTAATGCTTTATTTCAACCCAAGAGACTGAAACGGACTTAAATTTACACTGAAATTTAGGAAAAAAAAGTCTTAATCGCATTTTAGCCCGAAAAATGCTAGTTTTTATTGCTGGTATTAAATTCAGAATAAAAATAATTCTAGTATATTTCGAAATCGACTTAATTTTAACCCGATTTTCTCTCAGTGTGGAAATGTTAAATAGCTAATGGACCTATTTAATTTGTAGGTAAATTAACCTATTTAATTGTTTTACACTCCGTTTCTCACGCGTTGTCTGAGTATAATGAAAAATGTAGCTTTATTACCTCCAGATTGCGCCTGTATTTGTCCCTTTTGGCCGTGTAGAGCACCCAGGCGGTGTACAGGACCATGATGAGCGCGGGAATGATCACGCCGGCCAGCACGGCAGTCTTTCTTATCCACGCGTGATAGCAGGCCAACATGATGATTGACAGGGCCACGATCACTGCCACAATGCGCCCAGTTGTGCGTCGCTCCTCCTGCGAAAGGCGATACGGCGGCGATTTGGGTTAAGGATCACTAATGATACAGATCTCCGGAGGCGCACATGTTGTTTTCGTATAAATATTTGACTGATTTTCCCACCAGCAGCCAATTGACCCGTGGAAATCATCTGGGCCGAAGAGTGGTGCAGCTGTAAAAACACTGCCTGTGTGGCTGTGGTTGAATGTGCGGGAAGGTTTCGGGGCATAAATCACTTGGGTAATGGCGCAAATTACAAGTTCAATTGACTCGCGATCAGAGATGGATTCGTCAATGGAGCGCCAAAGTCAAGATGAATGGAGAGCTGCAGTGACGATGGGCGGGAGGATAAACAAGAAGAGCTATTTTATGAACTGCGGCCGGAGTGAGGAAGCCACAGGAAGAAGTGGGATGATGATCCAACCTTCGGTGGTCACAGAAAGTGTGCGCGATCGATGGTGAATTGGGCGGGTGCGCGAGGGGGTGGGATATAAAATTGAAGTGTGAATTGTGTGTTTGTACGCTTGTTTGAATAAATATTTAGATGATTTGGCTTCAATATTATAATTATATGATTTGCCTCTCTCGATCACGGCTCGTGTGCGCCTTCTTCGGCACTAGATCATCTCATGAGCGCCTCGAGGGTGGAAAAGTTGAGATTTTTTCGCCAAATCACCCACGGTTTTATCACACTTTCTGCTTGTTTAACTTACTCGCGATCGTTGGATTTGGTTTTCATCCACAATCGGTCGATTTTGATCCATCTTCGCGCGCGTTAATCTCCCACGAGAAGTCCGCAAATCTTTTCACACCGCTGATCGATGGAATTTTCCTTATTTCTCTATTTATCTCAGCAAAGACAGCAAAATTTTCCACCTCACTTCCCTCCCAGAATCGCAGATCTTCTTCTGCGCACGATGGAGATCCACCGCGAAAAGATGCAAAATAGAGACTGACGATCGACGAGGCGATCTCAGTTGATTTTTCCTCAGAGATCGTTAAACTTTTTTCCTCACTCTGTTGCGCCGAAGTCTATTATTTTTAGCCAATTTCCTTTTCTCAATTAATTGAGAAAATTCCTCAGGATTTCGCGCGATCTTTTGTCCTCGCAACACTCTTGTTCGCTTTTTTTCTCAACATTTTATTTACGCTTTAGCTCCAGCTACAACTTTTTACTCTCTCTCTCTCGTCTGTGATTTTTTTTCGTAAGATTTCTATACAGATTTCCTTTAACACTGCATTTTCCGATATTTTCCTCCCTTTCTTCATCAATACACTTTCACAGTTTAGCGATTTTGTGATGTCTATAAGAGGTATATTGAAAAGAACAAAGAGAGTTTCCCCTTAAAGGTATCGACGAATGAGAAAGATGTCCAAAGCAAATAGTGTTCCTCCCATCATAATCACGATATTTAGAAATTTTAAAATGATAATTACAATCCTCTTCTTCCATCCTTCCTTTTCACTCACAATGATAATTACTTTCATGTGAAAATCATTCCTAAACAAGAGCTAAATAGATTTGTTTAACATTATAATCCTTAACTAAAAGAAATCACTATGTTTTTTTTTTTGAAGAGATAGTGTGTAAATACAAAATCGTATTTTGTCTTAAATCAACTAAAAAGTTACTCTGTCACGAGAAAAATGTGATGCTTAGTTAATCTCCACCGCTTTTCATATCTCTCGCGTTCCAATGATTCTCTTCTGTGTTGCACAATTTTCCATTAAACAGTCGCAGAGACTAAAGGGAATCACGTGGCGTCCGTCGCTATGACTTCATTGCTAGGTTCCGAACACATCTCGAAGAACTTCTTCGTCACTTCTTCCATTGTTGTGTCATCGCGCAGCTCAACAAACACGGATTTCTGCAGAAGTGCACAAAGACGGTCAGCTTGAGATTTCAGAGATTCTTTAGGATGAATGAAAAAAAGACTTACACTCCCATCGTCATTTTCTTGCCGCAGAATTCGCCAAGTGTCCAGAATTCTTGAGTATTCCAAGTACTTGTCTGTGTTGGCTAGAGATTCGTAAACATGACACAATCCACGGTAATCGTACTCCAGACCCGAATACGAGTCGCCAAAAAGGCGCAGACCTGGTCAAAGAGTAGCACTTTAAGTGATCTAACATTTTACCCTAACAATGATCAAAGGCATCTCTGCAGATTTCTATAGTCCTGTAAAGTAATATTATCGGATAACTCACTTATTTCGATGCTCTTGAGATAGAGCGACTCGGCTTCGTGATGTTTCTGCATGTGATAATTGTAGAGGGAAGCCAAGTGCCCAATGGACAAGCCCACTTCGTAGTCATAAGCACCTAAGAGGTCCGTCTTGATCTTGATAGCTCTCTGGTGCATTCGCTCGGCATCGTCGAACTTGTTCATACTCTGATACAGTCTCCCCAGATTCCCGTAGTGCTTCGCCGTCTGCACATTGATCTCCCCGAAGGCCTCCAGTGATAACTCCAGCGCCGACTTGTGCAGCACCTCAGACTGATGGAGCAACTCCTGATGGTCGGTGCCCGAGTGCAGCATCATGTTGTCCAGTGCGATCTCCTCGAGGATGAGGGCCTTGACGCGCTTCGCGGACGCCAGCATGAGGTGGTTCGTCGGCACAAGCTTCTTCATGATTGTGATGGCACTCTCTACGTGATTGCGTGCCGTGTTGAACTTCCCAGAGCTGTACTCGCGCACATACAGAGCATACGCGAGATCTTCGTGCGCCACAGCGACCAGGAGATTCATGTTCCCGAATATTTCCGTCTTGATCTGCAGCGCCTCGTTGTACACATCCACACTGGACGTGATGGCGTCCACATTGAGCAAGTAGAAGCCATAGTCGAGCAGCGCGTCCGCGTACTTCTGATGATTGGGCCCATAAATGCTGCGCGTCTTCGTCACGGCCATCATGATGAGGAGATTGGCCTTCTTGAAGTGACGCTTCACCACACACGACTTGGCCGCCTGCAGGAGCACATCGATCACCACCTTGTCCGGGATGTTTTCCTGCGCCACATTCTTCAATGCCCGTATGCTCCACGTGTAGCTCTGATCGTACTCGCTGCGCGCGAAAAATAGCACCGATATTTGCAGATAGAGATTGGCCAGCAGGCTCTTGGGAATGCCCTCTGTGTCCACCTTGTCGATGATCGCCTTGTACGTCGTGTCGGCGTCGCGGAAGAGGCAAAAGTTCGCCTGGGCGTACAGCAATCTCTGCAGGCAGTCCAGTTCCGTGAAGAGATTCTCCATGGGCGCCTCGTCGCTGGGAACATTCCTCACCACGCGCAACACATTCGACAACACCTCAATACTCTCCGCCAGCCAACCAGCCTCAGACAGGAACGTCCCGAGGCGCAGTCCTAGGTCCACATCCTGCCGACGAGACTTCCGCACACTCTCCTCATCCTCATCATCGTCCGCATCCTTGCTGCCGCCGCCTTGCTTGTACCATCGTCTGTACTCAATGTAGTCCACATAGCGCTTCGTCAGGCACGACACAATAGGCAAATTGTTCTTCACGAGACTCGCCACGCACTTGAGCAACTTCTGCCTGGCAGATCCAAAGCGCAGCAGCTTCGCGAACACCATCAAGTCAGACAACTCCTCCAGCAGCGTCTCGCACAAGTCCGCCTTCTGGGAGATCTGCAAGACGATCAGAGAGAGGGAGAGAGAAAATAGACTGATTAGACAAACAAAAACAGCCTTGGAAGACTTCGGCACACACACGGAAATCAATTCCTCTACGCGACAAACGCAACTCTCCAAGGCTGACCTCGTTGTTTTCCTTTCGCGGCAAACATTCCACAATATCTCCGCCACACAGTGATAACAATGAGCCAAAGAAGGTGGCCCAAGAAAATGCATAAGAAAGCAATATGTGTGGCGGAGAGAGGAGAGCTTCGTCTGTTTTGATTTCACAGACGGCTAATCTTGTCTATTAACATCAATTAAGCGGCTCAAAGTGCCACTGAAAAACATCCTTTTATGCGTATATAGAAGATAGACGGGAAAATGTGTGGAGAAATATCTTTCCATACTGAGAAAAGTTGCTCCATCACAACAATACTGTCGCTGTAAACTGAGTATATGTTCAGGTGAGTGACAAGAAGTAGGTTGGAATTAGTCAAATATGGGGCAAAAAATTAAGTTAATTAGCAATTTTGCATAATGTACAGAAAATAAGTGAAATTTGCAATTCTTATCAATTGACCCGCCGATCTGAACTTCATGCTCTCGCATTACTGAGGTTTAAGCCTTCGGAGATTTAATTGGAGACACTAAAAGGGATTGTGAAGTTTATGACTTTGAGAAATTGGACTTTATTGCACAAGTATTTAATTGAATAAACTTTGCAGCGCAACCCTATCCAATTTCATGCACTGATTATTTCTCAAAATCCGTTTAACCCTTTCACGATAGTCGAAAAATTCTTCCACTGTAGCGAGAAATTGAAACGCCTGATTAGATCAATTATAAACCTAAACAATTTGACCAACTAACACCAATTAAAATAATAAATGAAAATACAGATTTTGCAAAGAATAGATTTAAGAAGAAAAGAAATAATAAATCTATAATCTACACTTCTTCTCAAGCATTTTGTGAAGATATTCTAGTGAAAACGTTAAGAAACACATGAAAATCGGACAACATAGTGAACATTCTGTGTTTTAGACCTTAAATCTCGTCAATTTGAGGCTCCAATGGACTCGCAACTTCTCGTATGTTTACTGAAAGTAAACGTGTAAAAGAATACTAGTGAAAGATAGTTTCCTCTTATTTCTGCTGTCGTGAGTTTGAAGACCATCATTTCCAAATACATCCAGAAGCAATCTTGACTGCGAGGGGATTCAGGCTTGTGGAAATGAGAGTGTAACATATTGAAGTGTCAGAAAGTTTTTCCCAATACCGACACTTATCGATAAGAATTACGTGCAATTTCCTTTCTTTAACACAATTTTAGGGGATAAACAGAACTGATATTGACTAATTAGTCTTTATACTGTTAATTTCAACTATTTTCCCCTCAAAATTTGGTCAGAAATGTAAAAAAAAAGGGAAATTGCACGCAATTCGTGTCGATAATTGTCGATATTTGGGAGAACTTATCGCGACATTTCAACGTAGTTGGGATAAGCGCTAAAAAGAGAAGTCACAAGCTGTGATCGCAAGAGAAACAGCACTTTATGAATGTTATTCTTCGCTCTTCTGCGTGATAGGGAAATAGATAGACTTTGTGTGAAAGCATTGTTACCTAGTTTAACCATATTGAAAGCAGATAAAGTAAGCAATAATAAAAAATAGAGATAAAAGTCAATGATGACGAAGATAGAAAAATTGTGTAAATATTGCTAAGTATTGCGAAGTTAATTCAATAACTTGAAGTGTGCAAATTGAGTGATTTCTTTTCTTTCTGTGTTAAGATCAGTCCAAGGATTCAGCGGAGATATTCTAGACTTTAATCTAGGTTCTCAGGTTTAAAGAACTTGTTCCACATATTGTGCATGATGCAAATTGCAGACTTTGTTAAAGCATTATTTGATTTTTTTTTGTGTTTCTGACCTTTCTGACCTCATTTCAATTTTCAATCATTCAATTGACGGTTAAGATTCCCACTTAATCTTGCTTAACCTGAGCCAAGAATACTTTTGGAACACACTGTATATTTTTGGCTAAACTCGTCTTATCAAAACGATTAGTTTTTGCATGTGCTTTTCGGGTTGCTATCAGTGAATTTTTAGAGGCTTTGTGTAGGAGATTCGCGGGCGTTCTAATAGAGGTTTTTGGGAAGATTGCAGTAAATCGGCTCACAATAATATTGTTTAGCAATTTGTGGACAACTTCTCTCTGCCTTTCTCTCCCTTCTCTTCGCGATCACTTTCTCCGGACGTTCCAATCAGTTCTGGATGATTGTGGGATGGAAGAACAGTGGTTTTGCGGGGAAAATGGGTGGAAAAACGAGTGAAAAAGCGCCTCTGTCGCCCCTCGAAATGAAACAGAAAGTCGTCGAGAAGTGCGGTTTCACTTTCTAATATGTGGCTGTGCCTCTCATTTCTCTTGTCGTCCGAGATTCCAGGCACCAATCGCGCTGATCTCTGGCCTCCTCTCAGCGTCCAGACACCACAGATTCTCCTCAGCAGCGCTTCCTGGCCACTGATCGACTGTCGTCCTCCGATCGCGCCTTCGTCCTCATTTTGATGGCAATCGTCTGGATGATAAGACATTGCGGACTTTCTCGCAATTTTTGCGTCCCGACGTCACTTTCGATGGCTAAAATACTGCCTTTGCGTCTGTATTCGTGTCATTGAGAGACGTCGTCGATATTTTTATCGCACAAACATCACGAGTGAAAAATACAAGAAACATAAATTTCGCAAAAATTGCAGATGCTCTCCCAGCGAGAATTTTCCCCGGAAAACCCACCATAAATCATCCCTGAATGAGACTGTGAATTCACGACACGGAATCACAGCGGAAAACGTCCTGAATCCGCTGATTTTTCCGTCCTGAGCACTCGTGAAAAATTTCTCCTCTCAGCTGACGACTCAAAATCTCCATTGTTGTGAGTTGGAAAGATGGTTTTTGTGGGCAGCAAAGTGTCCCAGCTTTTCCGCACTTGTACTCACCGCATAGTAGATTTCGGCCAGGATGACCGGCGGCAGCAGTCGGAGGGCATTTATTTTCTGCAGAGACGCGACACTTTTACTCAAATTAGCCACATATTTTCCCAAACACAGTTCATAGAGCGAGCTCGGATTCCTCGCGCTGTCCATTTTTCTGCAACAAAAAATACACACTGACAGACGTCAATGAAACTCACCACCGCAACTGAGATTTGACGTCGCGCGATTCGAATTGGATTTCAAGCAACATTTCACGCAACTCTGCAATTTTCCTGAAAATTATCTATTTTGCTTTCACTGGATCAGCTGATTCCAAAAACTCTTCAGATTAACGTGGAATGGACAGAATTAATTGTCCAGTGAAAATTTCGCATAATTTGTCTAATCATAGAATCATAGGGTTTTGTTTTAATGTTTTTAATCCAAACAATCATTTCTTAAGTTGAGAATTATAATATGTATTTCAGTTGAAATTTCTAGACACTAAGATTTTCTCGTGAATTTTCTAGACCAGACTTGATCTCAGAAATTTGAGTAAGAAAAGTGTTTAATTGAGAAACTTCGTCAATCGCTTGAAGTGCTCCATAATTCTACATTTTCTTGAATGTGAATGAAAAAACCTTCTCTATTTTATCAGTAAAAATTACTAAGTTACTTATTCTTTTCTCAATTGTCTACTCATATTTGACTTCTATTTTACAAAGCTTCGTACAAAAGTCCTTTCTTCCCAATAAATCATTTGATTCATATTGGGAATAATATTCTTATTCCGTTGAGTGAGCTCGCCGTAATCCAATTTAAATTCACCACTTCTGGTGATTTTCTCCACTCTTTTTCGATGTTTCAAAGCGCGCAATTCAAAACCGTTCAAACCTGTTCCAATTGTAAAAATCCAAGAAATGTGCCTTAAAGTATTTAATTTACAAAATAAAATCACTTTATTTACACCAAAATTTGTGCACTACGTGGAATTAATAAATTAATTCACTATTAGACGGCCACCAGTGGCGCTATTACACTAGACGTGAAAACCACTCTCCATTCACCGAAAACAAGAAAGAAGAAAATGATGCAGGCCAGAGGACATTCGCTAGGGGAGCAGGAGGCGGAGGAGGAGCCCTAAGAGCCAAACTCTTGCGTAGTGCTGTCAATGGGGGCGAACTCGTACGATCCGCGCCCGTCGAATTGCAAATAGTATTCGTGGTGCTTCCACAGCGACTTCCGATGCGACACCGTGAACAGCGTGATGCCCACCTTCCGGCAGTACTGATACATGCTGCCCTCCACGTCCACCGACACCGCGCTCGTGCACTCGTCCAGGATGGCGAACTGCGGGCTGTGGTAGAAGAGACGCGCCATGGCGATTCGCTGCTTCTCGCCGCCCGACAGCACGTCGATCCAGTCCTCAATCGCGTCCAGACCCTTCTCGCGCACCTGCAGATACGACAGCTGCACCAGGTCCAGGTAACTCAGGAGGTCCTCGTCCGAGCGCCCACGCCGCAGCATCTCGTCGTGCGTGTGAGGATAGATTATCTGCGGAGGAGCAAAGGAGTGACAACAGCGAGTCCTGGGCTGGACAACTCATCAACATACCTGATCACGGAGGGTGCCCAGTGTCATGTATGGTCTCTGGGGGATGTAGAAGAGCTTCCCACGCGGTGGTTTCGTCAATTTTCCACCCCACATCGGCCACAACTCGCCCAGAACGCGGAACAGACTGGACTTGCCACAGCCATTGGGTCCACACACCAGCACATTCATCCCGGATCTGTAATTACCCCGTCATTAGACTCACTGTCCAGCACTCTCACAATCATCCGCGAACTCACTTGACTTCGAACGTGAGCTCCTTGACGAGAATGTCACCGTTGGGCGTGACCAGAGGCACTTGGTCGAAGCTAATGATGTTATCTTGGAATGCAAGAATACCCTGACCGACGCCAATCTCACCGTCAGCGCTGCTGGAGTTGCTCACCATCGTGCGCTCATATTTGCCCTGATTAAGATCCATCAGCACACTTCTCAGCTCTGTCATGCGCTGCGTGAAGCCCGCCAGGCGAGAAAGCTCCCGACCAGCCAGAACCAGACGACCAATGGCCTCTGCCAGTTTCACTAGCATCCGCCCAAAGGTGTAGTATTTCTGGAAAGATCAGTCCACTCTTCAGCAATCCTGCCTCACTTCATGCCTCAATAAATGCACACTCACCCTCAGCCGGTCACCCTCGGGGCCACCCGTGAGCAGAGGATGATCTTTGGTGAAGAAGGGAATGGATACGGCATAGAAGCCCACAATAGTGGCAATATACTTTCCCACGATGTTGTCCACGATGCCCATGCTCACCCTGAAGTCCAGGAACTTCCTCATGTGCGACACCAACTTGGAGAAGCTCGCCAGAATTGTCAACTTCTCGCGATTGTTGCCCTGATAGAAGGCAATCTCCTCGGAGTTCGTGATCAGGCGACTGTTCACATACCGGAACTCACCCTCAAGCTTCTGCTCCATCACCGTGAGTCGCCCCGTGGGTCGGCGCAGATGCGTGAGGAAGATACCAGCAAAGAGGAGATAGGCTAGCAGAATCGACGGCGTCTGACCGCCCAGATTCACCGTCAAGCGATACACGTACAGCATAATGTCGAGAGCCGGCTTGCTTACGTTCGAGTACAGATCCGTGAAGCTCTCACAGAACTTGTCAATGTCCGTCGTCAGCAGTTGGTCGGCATTCGCTATCCTGTTGTCCAGATTGGACATTTTGTAGTATGTGAACCCTCTGGAAAAGAAAAACGCATGAATCATTATCAGGAACTCCGTGGAACAAAGTACAGTTGGTGGTTCATCACTTATTATCACAATTATCGTATTTGCAATGTCAATGCCTACTCAGATTGCGACTCTTCATCACCTCTCAGAAAAAGGAGAAGAAGTGAATGATATCTTATCGTATTTGTTCGCTTGTCTAATTGTTTTTGTATTTCTTTAATAAATTTTATATTGCTAATTTTCTGATAGACACACCAAGAGTGATTAAGCAATATTCACGCTCGATTCGAGACGCTGCGTGCAGGTCAAATTCCTATCCACGTTTTCTCAATCTTATTGTAAAATTTATTAATTAATCATCTTCCTCCATGTGGTTGTTTTTATTATTTATAATACCGATTTATTTCTATGATTATTACTCAATGCTGATTAGGTGAAAATATCGATATTGTCCTTAATTCGACACTTTTTAAGCAACTTATCAACTGAATTTGACGAAGAAAGCCAACATACATAAGAGAAACGTTTAAATACAATAATTAGAAGCAATAAAATTCAAGATTATTGCTGCTATTATCAATAACAAACTAATATAAACGTACAATTGTAGCTTGAATTAATTCTCCCTTGAAACTCATTTCGACTTAAGATACGATAACAAGTGATGAATCCAACGCCTGATCAATCATTGTACTCACTTCAGGTATTCATTGTACAGATGATTCGACAAATTCGTCCTAAACCGCAACTTGAGCTCTCCAAGGCTCCACTTAAGTACGTTATTGACTACGGAAATCTGCAAATAGGTGAAAAAAAGGGTCGGTAAACACAATGCAAATCACACTTCTTGAGGCCAATTCACACTCACCAGCGGAAGTGCAGCGAAGAACTTGAGAAGGGCCTTCTTGAACTTCGGCCTGTTCATCGTGATGATGCAACTCTCCACGACCGTGGCATTCTGGATCATCCAAATGTCGCTGATGGAGCGCGCGATCAGCGACATGCCGACGGTGATCATCAGCGCACTTTCCACACTCCAGGCACGTGGAATGATGATTCCTGGGGTGGAAAGAAGTGGACAGCGTGATTGCACTTTTGCCCTTTGGAATCCACACACTCGTTTACACCAACTCAGCCGATCATTGTTCGAGGCACTCAATTGAGGCGAGAATGCGATTAGATAAGAAAAGTGCTAGTCAATTTTCTCCACTCTGAGCTATGATATTTGCCAAAAAGCTTGCTGCGTTGGCGATAGTTTCCTCACATTGGCGCGGAAGATTTCGCAACAACAGAAAAATCAATGGAATATGCAAATTACAAATCTCTGCTTTTGCTTTCAATGGCAAAACCCTTCTTTATATAATAAACATTGTGAAAATGCAAATTTTCTCATAGTTAACTGTTAATATATTAATATATGGATGCTATGAAAGTGAAAATTTGCTCTCTTTCCCACCTTGACCGTGATTTTGACGATTAGTGGAGCAAAAACTTTCGAACAGCACAGAAACTAATGATAAACTTTACGGAAAGTGTTGGTGAATCACGTATTTTTCTTTATCTCTACGCTCAAAGCGTGGGACGATTTCTTAATTGCCATTGTCTGAAAGAATCTCTGTGATGAAATAAAAAAAAATATCCAGCAAAGAGTGAAAATTGTCTCTGGAAAACTCCTCCCAAAGCTGAGGAAATGTATAAGCTGCAATTGCAACAATCACAGCAGAAGCACAACAATATTTCGTGACAGGGTTTCACTTAATTATTTACATGGTCACAACACATGGCTGTGGCGGGGAAACGGGAGAAAAAAGCTTCATGAAAATGTGAAAAACTAGTTTTTACACACTCGCTTCGCACATACAAGTCCATTTTGTTATAATGGCAATGCAAATGATATTATTGAAACGAAATTCAATGTCTTCGTCATTGTCTTTCACATCGATAGATTCAGCACTTTTTTTTCCCCTTGGACTTGGAATTTCAGTCAACGCACAGACAGTTTTTCAGAATGCATTCAGAGTGACAATTGCAGAAAAATGCGCTGGCAAAAAAGTGCAATGAGCGGCACAAATGAAATTTCCATGAAGCCAACTTCTTCGATGTTCCATTAAATATTCCAGGAATGGTCGCTTCTCTGTTTAACCTCGTGGCCTCGTCGGCATCAATTACAAATGTATTAGGCAGTCACTCTAGCCGGCCACAAAAGTCACGATTTTCAACAGTTGCGGCAGAAGAGCAACAGTCCAAAATCGATCTGCTCCACAGACAAACTGATAAGTGGAGTGATAAAAACTCTACAAATCTATGCACTTAAAATTATCTATCAGATTAGCTGCATTTCTCGCACTTGCTTTGCAGGTAAAGAGAGCTGAAGAGAGGAATTTCGCCTAATGCTTCGGCAGAAAGTGATAGAAAAATATCATCAAAGGCGTGGTTGGCAAAAAGAAAACTTTGACACTAATAAAGTGTACATAATTCGTGAGCCAAGAAGCCAATTAGGCGCAGACTTTTTATCTCTTTTGGCAAAAATACACCTTCAACGTCACTATTGAATGTTCTTCTCGGTGATAAACTTCACAATTTGATACAAATTACAAGGGAAATGAATCATCCATTAGAAAAAAATAAAATCAATAGTAAAAATGAACTCTGTAGAATTCTTTAGCCTGCATTTCCATAAATTACGCTTTAGAACTTCCTGATTGGAAAGTAGAAACGACACAAGAAAAGGATGAATTTTTGTTGAAAAACCTCGAATTGTCGCTTCTAAAAAAGTCACATAATGAACTCATCGTAAACAAACGATTTCCATTCATACAAAAAACTGCGAAATACTCTATAAACATTTGAGAACCTTGGTTTCAAATCTGTAGTACAGACTTACGATGTAATTTAACAGTGAAAAGAACTACTTGAATTTATTCTCAACATTCGTATTGTTTGCAGTTAATGAGGAGAATTCTTCAAATGTCTGCATTTCAAATGATCACACATAAATTTTAATATAACATCTTAATCAATATTAAATTATTGCTGGGAAAGTCAAGTTTTTCGACTTTTCTCAAACTATTTTCAATGCATATATTAAATTTTGAGTATCGGTCAGAAAGTCAAAGTTGGCAAATATAAACTTGAATTAAACCCACTCAAATATTCTACTATACTGAATGATTGGAGCGATTTCCACTCAAACTTAGGAATGTTAAACTTCAAACATGTAAACGAGAAACATTCGGAACGAATAAGGAAAAAACCACCTTTGCTATTCTCGTCAAAACAGTGTTACAGACGCTTGAAAAAGAGCCACAATCACAGATTGATAATTCTTTGCAAGTTATTCTGCAGTTTCCGATTTGTTAAACTGCTTTTGACACATTCATTAAAACAATCTCTGGAAGTCGTTTTAAAATAACACATTTAGGCCGTACAAATTGGCTTAACATGTGTGAAACAGAATTGCAAAACCCACACAAATGGTGAAATTTTAACAAAATCGCTACTTAAAGCCTTACGTGTGTGACTCAGAATATCTAAAACTGTTTTAAACAAATATAACACGTTTTTAATGTTCCTTGTTTGAGTGGGAATTGATCCAGATTATAGAATCGATTGTTTTATCTTCAGACAACGCGTGAATAATCGTAATTTAGGCAAAAGAATTCAATCGAAATTCGTTGTTTATGCAATGATGATTTGCTATAAAGAATCAAATGCAAGGCAAGCACAAATTCACAAATTATTTCCCACAACGTAAACATTTCTACGATCGCGAACTGTGTTTTCTTCTCTCTGAATTCTCAAACGTGCCCATTCAGCGATCCGGACAATAGTCTCTCTCTCTAGTCAGTGATTTCTATAGGCTTTCAGCGCCGAGAGACGCAATTTGGCGGAATCTCAGTGCTCAGAGATGATGAGTGGACAGAAAAACAGAAAGTGCTCAATCAAGCGCCTGACTCGCGCGGCCAGCAAAAAAGGGCACTTTGGTTCGCGAGCCAGACTCCAGCTAATCCACTTAGCGCGACCCTAACGAAGGGTGACCGGCAATTTGGGGCCTAATTGGCCGCGGACTATCTCTCACCGAGCAAGACGCGCAGCTGCCGGAAGAAGATTCTGTTCACATGCGCCTTCTGCGTCCTCTTGTCTTTCTTCTCCGCGATCAGGTACTGGATCTGATCCTCGGGACGGGACTTGCGCTTCCTGGAAGTGAGACGTGGGGCGTTGGTGGGGCGCTCAAGTGGCAGTGGCCGCCGTGGCGAGTGCGTGAAGTCATCGCGGAGCAATTATGTAATCTCTGCGTGTTTCTGTGTCACATTTTCTCGCTCTCTCGCCACCTCTTCCTCGACTGCCCGCCGCGCGTCGCAGAGGCTCTTCTGGCCACTCCGCGGACATTGCGCAAGACGCGCGTGGATTATGCAAAAGAGGAAGGTTGAGAAAAAGGTGCCTGGCCAGTTTGCGGTTGGCTCAGGACTGGCTGGTGAGCGAGGAAAAGTGACTTCTTTCACATCATTCACTTTTCACGGCCACAAGCCGCCACTGCCCGCGGACTTGAGCTGATCTGTGCAGCCTTCTTACCCATTGCGATTGGATCTCTGACCGTACAGGATTATCCACACGGCCGCCGAGACGCCCAGGCAGCTCAGAAGGCTGTTCTGGTGCTGGGCAAGTTTACTCAAGCTCGGTGCCATGACACACCAAATCCACCCCGGAAAACCACCTTTTCACCCACACTGCACAACAGGAAACCACCCAGGACTTTCACTCACTCGTGCCGCAACACGCACACTTTCACGATGTGTGGAAAAACCGCTGGGAAATGCTCAATGACACAAGTTTTCTGCACTTGTTTCCCACTTTCACAGCAACTCCATTTTTCTGCGATCTCACCTCGCACGCAAATCACTCGAGACTGCCGGACTTTTTCGCATGACAGCTGTTTTTCCTCCGGAAATCGATGAGACTTGCACTCCCAGCCGCCGCGGCGCTGCAATCGGTATAACAGCGATGGTGAATAAAATCGTGGAAAGTCTCGAAAATGTTACAAATCTTTCCAATATTCTTTGATTTTCTTTATTTAGCACTTTTCCAGCTTCTGGAAATGTCACAAATATATGTGTAAAATTATCAAGAAAAGTATATAAAAGCACTCTGAAATGCAGACACTTGATCAACAAAGCTGATTCAATTATCCCGCCAAAAAGCTTTTGCGTGATGAAAAATGTATGAAAAACCAAGATTTATAGTTATAGGAGGAATATGAGTATATATGGAAAATTAGGAAACTGACACAAGTGAAGAAAACATGAAAATCTATCACTGGACGTTTTGGAATATCCTGGCCGAGATCATGTCATCATTCGGAATCGCTGGAGTCCTCCTCGCGGCCACGTATAATCTTGAGACTGGGCTTCTTCACGGCACTTATTTCCGTCTCCTCCACCTCAATGACGCCTCCCACAGCCAGGCGACGCTCCAGCACCTCCGTGGCGAAGTCCGGCTTGCCGCCCAAGTCGCGCAGTCCCACTACGTAATCCGTGGTCTTACTGTTGCGCACCAGCACAACCGTGGGGGCGCCGCGAATGCGGAGCCGCTCTATCAGGAAGGGCGCTCGTGCGGCGTTTAGACGGCAGAAGCGCGCCTCCATGTGCTTCGCCGCCAGCCGGCCCAAGTGCATGTCGAACACGCGGCAAAGTTCCTCGTCGTCACGGTAAAAGTGGCACACGACGTTCGAGCTGGCCTTGGTGGCGTCAAAGAACTCCCGCTCGTCAGCCAAGTGGCCGTACTGCCCGTGGCCCTGCAATTACGGGAAGGCGTTAAACAGAGTTTTGGAGAACATCTGGCCGAACACCCACGTTCTTGCGCCACTGTTCCATCTTCAATTGGCGCTCGCGGAACTCCTGGAGGCGCTTCTGTCGGAGAGTCGCCAATTCCTCCTCTGGCGTCGCATCCAAGCGAGCGTCCAGCTCAGCCTCCAGACGTCGAGCGGCAGTCAGTAATCCCTGTTCCAGGCCCTCCATGCTCGTTTGTTGCACTGTTTAATGTGTCACCCTCAGCTCACCCAGCTGTTCAGTTCGCATTACAAAACGTTCACATTCGCGCGATGTATGCAGAATTGTTGCCTCAGATTCTCTATTTGCACATAATTTATTATTAAATTGTGGTTTTTTTATGAATAGAACCAGTGACAATTTGTTAATTAATCGAATAATGTAATTTCTTATTGCGCAAATTGCTTTGGAAGATTAAATATTCCGGTGCGGTGTAATCAATGGAGGTCATCAAAGACGCCCGCGTCATGAATTGCTCATCGCGTTAATGGCAGTATAACAGTTTGGGTGTGGTGTCACTGTTTGGTGTTTTGCCCTCAGATTTGGCTGCGTTTTCTTCCCAATTGCCATGGATTTCATGAAATTTGTGGCCTATTGCGTGCTCTTTGCAGCCTTCTGCAACACCTGTAAGTGGAATTCTGGGGAAAACCTCCACTGCTTTACTTGCAATTGCAGCGAAAGGTCGTTGCTAGGTAAACATAACCTCTCACACTTCTTGTTTTTTCCACTCTGAGGCTCCGCCCTGGAATGCTACGTCTGCGCCAATCAGTCGGCTAACACGGAGAAGTGCCTGAAGACAATAAAGACGTGCGAGCCGGGCGAGGATGTCTGCCTGACGGAGATCCGATGGGGAAGTATGCCGTACTTCTCGCAGGGCGCGCTCAAGCAGTACTACGTCTCCAAGCGGTGCTCCACGAAGGAGGTGTGCCAGAAGATCCGCTCGCGCTACATGCCCTACTGCACGCACATCTGGTACGAGGACTGGTCCTGCTCCGAGTGTTGCCAGGGCGACAGATGCAACTACTTCATAATAGTGAGCATGACCTGTTTTCCGCCGAATGGCGCACGATTTGACTGTGCGTGTCTCGTTTCAGAGCGCCGCGAATGACCTCAGAGCGCCCCTGGCGCTGCTCATAGTCGGCGCCTACATGCTGGTCAGGAGACTAACGTGAAGCCTTAGAGAAGAGTCCACCTAATCTCGTAGAGATTCAATTCCGTCCAATTTCCGTAGGTGATAAGAAATAGGAATGCATTCCGTCCAGAAGTCGTCCGAAAGGGATTGCAAACGGGTCTGACTTGCGATATATTTGGAAGATGGCAATCCCTTTTATCTCTGACTACACGAAAGAAGTTTGTATCCTTTGTATTTGTATAAAGAAAAAAAAAACACTCTTGAAATCACTTTAAATTAACTCTCTCGCGCGCTCTCTTTATTCAATTACAAATATGACCCATTGTTGCAATACCCGCACACACACACTGTCTCAAATTCACGGAGATTTACCATCTTTCGGGGGTGGCTTCCTCGCCCGCCGGCGAACAACTCTTGCCTAAGGAAACTCTCTGAAGGGGGGATGTTTGGATACTGGAAATGACTTATAGTTCGTCGCGCAGAAGCGTGTAGCGATTCTTCGACGGCGCCAACTTCTTGAACGTCGACTCTGGCGGCTGCGTGGACTTCTTCACGTCGTTCTCCTCGGGCGTGGTGTCCTTCTCCGGGCCATAGTGGAATTCACGGTGCAGCTTGCCGCTGTAGAGATCGTTGAGGAACTGCTTCAGCTTGCCGGGCGTGTACATGTCCTTGACGTTGTCGAACAGATACATGTGCCGGAAGGAATCGATGGCAATCAGTGGCAGATCAGACTGGGACTTTCCGAGATGGTGAAGAGGATGAGCGAAGCGTTTTCCATCGGCCACCAGGAAGTTGACATTTTCTGGAGAAAGAGAGAAAATTCAGAAAATGGTTCTAGATTTAGTTGGCAATGTTTAATTTCATAGAGACGAAAATTTGACGAAGAAAGACGCGAAAGCAGTTTCTGGAATCAATGTTTGATTGAGAAAACTTGTTATTTCACCGTGTTTTTCACATGGGAGTTGGTAATTCTAAGAAATATGAGCTAAAGATCGCTTTCAGTGCCATTGTATTTCAAATCTTTCAAACCATAAGAGGTTTTATACAATGACTTGGGAATTCACTTGAGAACTTTCACTTCTATTCATCTCTTGAAAATATTAGAGTTTAAGTGAAGTTCGGAGAACAAAGTTCAATTTGCAAGACTCACAAAGTACCTTATAAAGCAGTAATAATAATCTTATATCAGCCATTTTCATGAAAACTGCACCATCCAAAGTAGTCGCTTTTCTTCTATCTAAATTTAATGAATTTTCATGCTTTCTTTTATATCCTCAGTTATTAAATTGCCAAAAGATATTTTGCTTGACAAGTGTCCAAATCCTCTTCAGTACAAATCAGTCCATCAATAACCACATTATAAATTACACTCGCTTATCTTTTTTGCCGGTTTTGGCACCATTAAACACCATAAAATTTATGACTGTGTGTAATTTAAATTACTACGAAATGCCTTGCCTTATCGCTCGCCTAGCCAATAGGTTTTGCACGCGTGGGGTTTAAAGAACCTTCATTTAAACTTCATGAAGGTGAAACTTTCGCTGCCACTTGATGGCGACAAGCTATGTAAATAACTGTGAATATCTTACGTTTCTCCGAGAGAAGTTGCGTCTCCACGATGGTCTTGAAGTCCTTGATGATGTCAGTGTCGTCAGTGGCGTGGAAGAGGATGAGGAAGGGCAGGCCCTCCTCCGTGAGCTCCTCGGCGTTCTCGAATGTGATCTCGCGCACGAGCGGCACGCACTTCTCCTGCACCCAGATGTTCATCTCGTCGAAGCTGCCCATCTTTCCCGTGTACGTCTCGTCGTTCTCATTGGACACGGCCACGTCGGGCCGGAAGACGACGATGGGATGGCCGGGCGGATGCATCTGGGAGACAGAGTCACCGAAGCCCACGTGAAACTGGCAATCCTCCTTCAGATTCGTGGCCACGCGCCTGAAGATGTTGTACTCGGGCATGTCTCGCCGATCGAAGTAGCCGATGATGATGCGCTTCTTTGAGTCCAGGTGCTCGAGATCCTTGAGGCTCTGGAACTCCTTAATGGGGTCCTCCATCTGCTTCCGGATGAACTCCGAGAAGGCTTCCACGGAGCGCTGGCCGCGGTACTCCCTCTTCATCGGCTGCCCGTTGCGGATCACCTTGAGCGTGGGGTACTTGCTGATGTGGAAGCGCGTCGCCACGCTGCCCTCTTTATCACAGTCCACCTTCCCCATCACCACCTTTCCGGCGTCCGGAAACTCCTTGTGCACCTCGTCCGCCGCCTCGTCGAAGATTGGCTGCAGGATGTTGCTGAAGCGACACCACTCGGCGTAGAAGTTGATGAAGACTAATTCATTTGACGCTGCAAAGATCGCAAAACAGTTAGTCTGGCTCCGGGTGCGCCGGATGTCACGTGAAAACAGCCCCCATTCGCTCACCTAGGGTCATGTCGAGGTTTTCACTCGTCAGCTGCACCGCTCCGCCCTCCGCCCGCTGGATGAGGACGCACAGCACCTGGAAGAGCAAGAGAATCCTGCTGATGTCGTGGCATTCCGGGACTTTGTCGCCGAGAGAATTGGCCCAGAGAAAAAATAACCTCGAAGTGCGCGAGCCGTGAAAAAGCCCGGAAAACCCGTGAGAGTGGCGCTAAAATTGACTCACCAGCAGTGTGTTTAGCAGAAATAGGACCCCCCTAAGTAATTCACTCATATTTAGACCTAAAATTACACTAATTACAGGTGTTTTCCAGCGAAAATACAGCGAATGTTGTGGTATTTTGTTTTATTCAACTGCTGTCGCCAGCGCCACTGCGACCATCCCGGAAAACGTGGCATACGCTTATCGATTAAGTGCAGTGAAATTGGTGTGAGTATTGGATAAATCCGGGGGTGAAACCAGTCAATTGCAAGAAACATGTCAAAATCGCACCGGTTTCAAATTTGAAATGAGTAGGAATGAGAAAAGGGGCTAATAATTTCTGAAAAACATTTTTATTCATGTCTGGATTTGATGTAATAAAATTTGTCCTTATTTCTATGACAATAAAATGAAAGTTTCATTAATGACTTGCCGAAATGCATTGTTTTATTATGAATTAAAATTTTAATACATTTGACATCATACATAGTTTTTGTCATGTCATTGTTCTTTTCCCTATCTTTTCCGCATACTAGCATCAATCTTCTAACTTTCAAGTTATTGACAATGAATTTTAAACAGGTTTTAACATATTTTCGGGGGAAAAATAGATCAAATCGGCAGTCTAAAGACTAATTAGCCGTATCAGTTAATTTTTCTTTTTTTTTATTATATCGATAAGTGTCGGTAAGTTCAATAACTTGCCGACATTTGAACGTAGAGGGATAATTCCCTTACACTCTTTGCGGGACAATCACAGCCGGAGATCCTCAAGGAAACGAGATCGTGCGCCTCGCAGAAGTGCTGCTGGGGAGAATGTATGCAAATTGTTGCAATAAAAGTTTATGGGCAGACCATTAGGGCGAAAGGAGAGGCAAATAAACGATGCTTTTTGGGAGATATTTTGAAAGATGAGGCGCAATTCGTCTCCTTCGTCTTCTTTTTTCGGGCGCGCACTAAGTACCGAAATATTGTATCTTCTTCAATGTTCGGAGGGCACTGTAAAATGAGGAATGAGATGGTTTCTGAGCCACACGTCTCTGCCCGACCTCCTTGCGCCCAATAAATAACCCATGAAAAGAGCCTCTATGACAAATGAGTAGAAATTTTCGGGACTGAAGAAATGACAGAGGCGAAGGGGCAAAAAAGTGTAGCAGAAAGTGATGAAAAGTCTACATGATCCCTTGTTGAGTGACCGACTTTTGTTGCCGATGATCCCGGCGTGGGAGCGATCGCGCGCTGATGCTCCAATTGAGCGATCCTGACAAACACCTTGCGGACGAGGATCGAATGTCCTCGAGTTGCGTGATCGACAAAGGGATGCTGCGTGATCAAGTTTCGCTAATTTTCCCATCACTTCCCTTCGCTCTCGATGGCTGGAGGGAGAAAATGAGGCTTTGAGATTGCAATGAAAGAGATTTTCTTGTATCTCCTTGCGATATTGCAGCAAAATCCATCATTCTTTACCTGAGCGGTGGAGAAGACAACAGGTAGTTGTCGGTTTCTGCCTTTGTCCCAATTTCCTCGATTTGCACTGAAGATTCCACCTTTTCATCCTCCAACATCCATCCTAATTGTCCTCCTTGCCAATGCCATTCGGGAAAAAAAATTGACGGCAATTTTGGTCCTTCCAGCACAATCGCACGATTCCTTCAATCAATCCCGGTGACCATCTGAAGAATTGGAGAAGACACAGAATTGTTGGGTGCGAAAATTTATTTATTTAGACACTCTCTCGGGTTTTTGAGCAATGTGCAAAGGGGCAAAAGAGCCTGGCATTGTGTTGTTGTTGCCGAATTCGTTACGACATCGCCTTTTGTGTACATTTGCCATTGTGTCCAGGAGGAAAAGCCACAATAAAATTCAGTGGGAACTGATTGTCCTGGAGTCCCACAAGGATGCTACCGAGGTGGAGACCGCAGAAGAAAGGACAACAATGGTGAATCGTGATTCCAGCTCTGTTTGGCGTGAGATTGTCGGTTTACACCCAGATTTCGCCCACAAAATGCTAAAGGAAAGATATTTGAAAATGACTATTCACGCCAAAATTGCAAGTTTTGCTGTAGTTTTGTGATTTCAGGCACACTTTATGCATAAGAAAGTTCGAATTTCGGACACTTTCTCGGGAGGAAACTTTGTCCTCTTCCAGGAATTGGTCATAATTCTTCAGACACTCGATTAGGTCTCAAATGGCATATTAATTCCCTCGAAATTGACACTTTTCCCACTCAAGCGTGGCGCTCTTTGGCCTTTTCTCTCCTCTCGTGTGCTGTTGATCCGACTGTTGGCATCATCCAGAGAATCACCATTGAGGAATTCATCTTTTCTAAGCATCAATGAATAAAAATGTGTGAATAATTAATTTTTTTTCCGTGTTATGGGCATCATTGTTGGAGAGATGAATATTTTGACAGGCACAAATGATAAATAATTTCTAATGGATGTCGACGTAGGAGAAGAATTGAATGTGATATTTTGTCTCGTCATGTCTTTTTCGGGTGTACATCATGCATCGTGTGTTGTGGAAAAAAGCGAGCCACCTCTGTGGTCTCTTGTGATCCATACGGCACACCATATCAAGTGAGACAAGATCTACATTGAGGCACTCAATTGAATTTAACACTTTGCTGTGCATGGCCAAGCAATCCCCCCGGTGAGATGGCTTTGATGAGCTCGCGATCCCTCCGCGCAATGGGAATCAATGGATCGTGGAATGATTCTTCATTTGTTGACTCTTTTCGCGCCACACTTTGCGCTTGTCATTCATGGGGGCCTTCCCACCCCTGCGGCCCGCCTCGCCGCCCCCCGCTGGAGTCGGGTCGAAAAAAGGGGCACCTCATCTTCATGAATGGACGCGGACACACCTTTCGCGCGCGCGAGAGGCACGGAAAAGGCCATTTCCACATGTTAACAGCATGCCATCGGGATTCACACTGAGATGACCCCGCGGATGAACCAGAAATGATATTGTGAGGCCGATGGCGTGTCATAACAATCAATCGGGCGCGCGATAGAGCCCAGGCAACATCAACAGCATATAGAACACGTAGAGTGTAAATTACAATATATGACACCGTGTGGGGATCATAAATCATTCACCATGTCTTCATGCCGCCCTTCCTCGCGCTCCCACAGGCACCACGTCTGGCCGGGGTGACCCAGAGAATCCACAGAGGCCACTCCGAAGAGGCCCAGGCAGTCAGTGGGTGAGAAAGGAATCTCAAATGCTATGTACATTCAGCCACGGTGAATCCATAATTGAATATAATTTTTGTCCTGAAATAAAGTCATTGTAGAATGTGAACTTGAATGTAAAGTTGTCCAGAAATACCATCAATCAATATCTTCTCTTATTAATGCTGACTTTTGAGAAGTCTTTCGGATGGAACTTCTTGAAATTTCAGAAGCCCACTTTGGCCACATGCACGCAAATTAACATCTGAAATTGCCATCCCTCGAACGCCAAAGCTGTTTGCTTCTGAAGGCAATAAATCAATGAACCATCAGGCAATCCCTCTGCTCTGCGCCGCCCTGACCCACAGCTAGGAAATTCAAGAAGAACGTCTTCATATGCGGCGAAATTTCTCTGTCACCCCGAAGAGCGTTTGCCATCCAAAGTGGTCACTCATCGTGGTGGAAGATCACATTTCACACACCACCGCTCTCGGCAGGACGTCAGTCTCGTGCATAAGTGGGGTTTGGCAGCGAGAGCCAAACGGAGCTTCCAGATACCGAACAGATGAAGCACAGAGTTAATAAAAATTTTAATTTTTCAGCGAAAAGTCCAATGATAACCGCAATTCGTCTTCAATTGTTGAATTTTAAAATCCCACTTCTGATTTTATGGTCTCAGAATTTCTTAATCTTGTTAACTGTAAATCATCCTGGCTTCATCCCGTGTCCCGCACTTCCCAGGAAGTGAGCAAGTGAAAGTGTGACTGAGTGTCAGGAAAATGTCTAATCCTTTCACGTGGAACAGAGGGCTTTAAAGGTCACATGGGGTCTCATTGGATTACGCCCGATAATCCAATAGACTTCTCTCGTGCGTGAGCATGTTGCCGAAGAATCTGGACAAATCCAATTATCGCCACACCATGAGCAAGCTAAAAGTGTGACTTTGGGGATTCCTCCTGGCCACCACCCGCTGCGGGATGTTGTAAATTACCCCCGTGTCGCACGGGAAGATGACGTGGCGATTTATGCAAATGACAGTGCGGAAGATGTTATGCGAGAACCATGGGAAAAATGTGACGAGAAGTTGCGAATAATAGAGTGTGAAGGATGACGGGAGAGTGCGGCCGCGCGATGAAAAAGATTCGAAACGAATCAATTTGTCAAAATTAATTAGCCGTGTCGAAATTGGACGTGCTTATGTCAAATATTATAGCATGTAAAAATTACAATAATAACAGGAATTTTCGTGTGGTATGAATTGAAATCACGGGCCGGGGGAGCACCTCTTGAGGAGATTTCGTCACATGAGTGTGCGACTGCGGCCGTAAAAAAGGAATGCCAAAGGACACCGCAATTTGACGGATGAGCGGTGGAGTGGGGACGCGGCATGAAGTGAGCCGAGAAGCAGGACTATGTGTGCGTTCTTTCCTCTTCCAGCCACCTCAATCGCTCTATCTTATCTCCTTATCAGTATGATGGTGTAACACAACGGCACGCCCCCTTAAATACAGTCATTTCATTGGCCCATCTTCGCATTATGCTGAGTCTCTACCTTTTGGCATCCACTCTCTATGTGGCTCTCGGCCTCTTGTGTTTGTGCGAGATTGCTCGGAGTGTGGAGCTCGACTTGTTCCCGTCTTCGTGGCAACTGAGACGACGCGAGCGCGCCTCGCGTGTGTGTTGGTTGGGCGCTTCTCTGTGTGTAGAATGGGAAGATGGGAAGAAAAGGAGGAGAGACCTGAGAATGTGATTTGAGAGGAGAGAAGAAGAAAATAAAACTAAAATCTCAGACTCAGTTCCAAATCGCCACTCAAGCGAGAGACATTCGTTAATTACAGACTCACGTAAACGCTCGAGGAAGTTGAACGTAGGAACGCACGGGATTCCTAGTGGACGCCTTTTTTCGCTTCTCAGCCAGTGCAATTAGGGCAATTTACTCGGCATTTCACCCGATCGATCGGGACAGTGGGTGAAGAGTTTGGTGACCCGGACTTTTTTTCCGTTCTCTTGAGAACCCCTTGTGCGAAGATGGACTTTCTGCCAGGCTACGCTAACCAGTGGAATAACTTGCAATCGCCAGGACATCATCATCCGCAGTTTGCCGCCATCAATGTTATGCCATACCCACCTCAGACCCCGTCAGCCTGCTCGGCTGCATCCAACGGCGTGTCCAGCATGTCCCCCAACCAGGAGTCCACCTCATCCCGCTGCTCCAACTCAGTGAGTCCAGGCAGTGACATCATGTCAACGGTCTACTCGCAGCAGCAGCCGGTCCAAGGATCCCACCACATGGACATGGTGTCGAGGTGAGTCCAGCCGGAGTCCTTTCGCATCCGAGCATAAATTTACGAGCATATACTGTTCCAGGGGCAGCAGTTTCCAATACGCACCATATCATCCCGTGCCATATGGGAGTCAGAACTTCTACCCCAACTCCTGGTTTCCTCACCGACACCAGGAGACCGCGAGCCCCCTGTATCGCCCTCATGGAAGTTTCGATGCAGCGGCGGCGTTTGAGTTCGCCTGTCATCAGAGTCAGTTGGCCACATCGCGGCGCTGCGCCAAGTGCGACTGTCCGAATTGCTACAACGAGCAGGCAGGCATACCGCCGTTGGTGGGTCCCGACGAGAAGACGGGCAAGAAAGTGCACCTGTGCCATATTCCCGGATGTGGGAAGATCTACGCCAAGACGAGCCACCTGAAGGCGCACCTAAGGTGGCACACGGGCGAGAAGCCGTTTGTATGTACCTGGTGGGCGTGCAGTCGACGCTTCACGCGATCGGACGAGCTGCAGCGCCACATGAAGACCCACACGGGGGAGAAGAGGTTCACGTGCGAGGTGTGCTCCAAGAAGTTCATGCGGAGTGACCACCTGTCGAAGCACATTAAGACGCATGAGAAGAAGCTGCGACGCGTGATGTCCGCTACAAAGAAGGCCACCGCGCGGAAGGGTGTCAAAGCCAAGGAGGAGGTGACCGTTGAACCTGATCTTGAGAGTCTGCCAGCGGTCAAAGTGGAACCCACGCCGACCGATTATCAGGACCCCGTCATCTACCATTCCCACCATCAGACTACCTCAGCTTTTCCTGCCAGTCATGCTGGCAACTCGTTCTCCGTTCCACCCCCTCCCGCCCCCACACAGAACGTGCCATCCAGCGAGGATTTCCCCATGGCGTGTCAATTCTACGGGCTGAGGTTCGCATTCGACAAGCCCCAGTACCAGTACCACCAGACTCCGACCGCATCCTATGGCAACTTCCCCGACTATCCAACGTACAAAAGCTACTAGGAGACCCAGAGTCCCACGGACGCCCTGTGCCAATCCAGTTAAATGTGAATAATCTGTGTATAGCGGAGGAGAGGAAAAGACGAAATATATTTTAGTAGGAAAGCGGAGTTTATTTCTCTCTATTTATCCCAAACTTAATACACCAAGAAAGAGTATGGTCACATTTACCATTTGGTAAACCATATGTGGTAAATCATAGGTGAAATCACTAATCAGGAATTATGACTTTCGCCTACGAAAATTTGTTACAATTATTAAACCTAAATCGATTAATGCTACCAACACTTAAGTTACGAAAGGTTCAGTCGTCTTACACAGAAATACAGGAAAATATTATTCTTGCCGTGTGGTTTCCAAGATGATTAACAAACCTCTTCATCGGTCGTGTCATTTCTCAAAGAACAAAGCTCATGAGGATCATTTTGGGAAGTGATATGCCTCTTTTCGTAGCACCTCATCACATGTGCAAGTAATTCTGCCGACAATGAGATTCAAAATGCCACGGAGGATGATGGTCTATTGTCTAAATGAGCGACAATGGGTCGGAATGATGGGCAAGGTCGAAGAGGGAGCGCAAAGAAGGAGTAATAATGAGCGCGCGCAACTCAAGGCATGTAAAAAGGCGCCAAATAGGAGGTGATGCGTTCCACCTCATCTCTCTTTCCTCATATTAAATGAAAACAACCATTGCAGACTCTTCAATAATGGGAAATTCATATTATCTGCCATCAGTCAACCGGCATTTATCCCAAACTACTTGAACGCCCCAATCAATCTGTTGCTCAACTTGCCTAGTGCCAAGACGTGCATTGCACGCGTTCAGCATCACAGCAGGTTCGCGGTGTGACGCGATTTCGTGTTTTGTGCGGTTTAAGGATATGTATATTGCATGAGGAGCGAATCGACGGGATACTTTTGCGTTTCAACGTCCCTTATCGCCAAGATATCACCACGATGTCAATCGTGCATGTGAGCGGAATAAAAATACAAACAACTGTATGAATATCATCCGGAGTAACAACGAAAAACTATTAAATGGGCGTCCACTTTATTCTTGTGCGGTGTATTTCGTATTGTGTATATGGATGGAATTCACATGGCCGATCATTCTCTGGCTGCCTTGCATCTGTGTACGTCCAGCAACACATATCGATATGTATACGAATACCCACGATAGTGAGGGTAAAATAATTGCACTTGTACCATGCTGAAGTTGGAGTTGCTGCGGAGGCACAGTTGGGCTTTCGGATTTGAATGTAACGGTTGGATTATATTAGAATAGAGACTTAATTCTAAGTCTAGGCATTGTATATCTGTCATTCTAAAGTAGCGTTGCGCAGCGCTCGTCTCAGCATACATCTTCGCTGAGGCCCGTAAGCCATGTCTGCTTCACGGAGAGAGAAAAAAAAACCCACTTGAAGCGTGAGCTTGGTGTGGAGCGTTGAAATTGTATTTCGCGAAGTTGGAAAAAATCCACAGAAAAGCATGCAATTACCCCTTTTTCATCGTCATACCATTCCGCACACAGAGACGCGGCGATACGGCAGCAACAACTACAATAACGCCACTCCAAAGAGCCACTTTTCATGGCAATAATCCACCAACAACTGGGGATAAGCACTGTGGAGTCAGTCAGTTTGTGCAGCACGCACCGTTTGAAAAGTTACTTTTCCAGATTTCACAGTACCCAAGACATTGCATCACGCTGCCTTTTTTGTACCCGCGCGCGCGCCGCGAACCTCAACCCCCTCGCGATGGTGGCTGTTTTTGCCGGAGCGCCGACCGAAAGCTCACTGAAGAAAACTAATTAATAAAGTCCAGTGTTGGTTGCCGTTTTTTGCGTGTTGACCCGAGTGTCCGCGGAGAAAGATGCCCCGGTGCACGTGAGGTCCATTGGTGGATCGCGAATGAGAGACATGAGCAAGAGTTGATAGTATTTGGAAAAGAAAAATGATGTACTTAGTGTTTCTTTTTCGTCGGTGATTTACGGGCATTTTCTTGTGGTTACAGAGTATATCTATATGTAGTTTATGGTGTGTTGAGCCTCTCCTCAGACTGACTTAATGTGGTTCTGTGCCTCCATAATGAATACTGAAATTGGTGTACTGGTAATCAAGCGATTAGATTGAGTTTGAGGTTAGCCGATGTGGTGACAGAGGTTAGGTTTGCCGTAGAGAGAAGTGTGTGCCTGAAGATTGTCCGAAGGCCCAAAAGTCGGATAATATTGAACATAGAAGTGCCACACGATGGATCGTCAGGATACCAAATTGTTCCTAGCCGAGGAGATATTAGCGGTAAGTGTGATGAAACAAACATAACCTCAACATGACATTAAATGTGACAGTTAAATGACAGGAAATTGAATCAAAAACTAACAGATTTCAGTTGAGCATTGGGAAATCTCGTGATCCATCGTGACTTTGACCCAAATTATCCCAATTTGTGGGGAATTTGGCAGAACAATAGATGGCAAGAGGGTGGGCAGAAGAAGGGTTCGTTGAGAACTAGAGCCATATGGCGGTTAAGTGTGAAGGCAATTTACTAAACCGAGAGAGCTCTTCTCTGCCAAAAGACGCATGAAGAGGCCTTATATAAACGAAAAAGTGGCCCTAAGTGATGGCTTTTGTGTGGTTTTCCCATTGATTGTCGCCCATCCTGGGCGAATGTGTGAATGAAAATTCGATAATTGTCGTCAATAAAGAAACATAGCGCAGTATATCGAGAAAGCCGAAGGGGGCTTTTCATCTCAGCCAGTGAAACAATTCGAGACGGCGCACAATACATTCCGTCGGATGAATTAAATTGCACACACATTGGGAATTTTTATAAATGGCAAATATGAAAACACCTGCGGCTTTTATTTCTTGCGAAATTAAAATACAATTAGTGCAAAATTCTCCACGAACTTTACCACCTCTTTTTTCGCTCAGTTTTTCCCTCCATGACAAGAGGGAGTGCAAAAGGGATCCAAATACAATTTCCGCGAAACTCAATAAACACCTGCACATTTCCGCTCAAGTTGATGATCAAGATACTCTAAGCTGTGTGCAGATCATTTGATATGTACTTGGTGTCATTTTACCCAAGGATATTATCGTCCTTTCCACCCTCGCCTTGAGACGCAGAGTTCTGCTCTCAATTGACGGAAATTCAGGCAGCATTGATACATTGTGTTTCCTTCCGCCCTTCGAGGAGCGAGTCCTCTTTGTCCTTCGCTATTTCATGGCATTTTTTCCCCAGATGCAATAAAAATAAACTCGCAGCTCTGGGACGGGAGGGTGATTTAGGGACCCTGTGTCCTCTCGTGGGGTTCATAAATTTTTTACTGTGTGACGCTGACAAAAAACTCTGTCTCACTGATTGTATAAAATGCTCGTAAAATACTGCCAAATTGGTGGGTATTTGCATGATTTTGCTGTGCATCAGCAGAGAAATCTCGGAAGTCCTGGCACATTGCGCGGGAAAATTCTCCAACATCGCAATGCCAACCCATCCCTATTGGCACCATGCAAAAGAGTGACGGAGAAATTTATTCATGTGGAAAGTCAGTATGTTATTTATCAATAAATATTAGGAGGACGATAGAAGGGTGTGTCTGAGTTGAAGCAATAAAATTTCAATAAGTCTCCTCAACATCTCATTCAATCTCTTCCCATTTCCAATCATTATTCCACCGCGCCATGGAAATTGAAATTATATCGACAGGTTGTGCGCGATTTCCCGCGAAAAGAGCTCGCGATTCATCAGTTGGACGTGATTCTTGTGCGCTTGAACTTTTCACATTGACTATTCATCGGAAATGTGCCTCCGAGATACCTCGTGACCGATGCAAACTTGCACAAGCTGCGCAGCATCTAGAAAATGTACTTGCTGATAATGTGAAGGTGGATTTTGTGGAGCAAAAACAACCAATAAAGTCACTTTCTGACCTCAAATTCACTTGATTTCTAAGATACAATCACTCGGCAGCCTTTCTAGATTAAGGGCGAAAATTCATTTGCACGATTTCGCGAACCACTGAACAGGTCGTAAAATTTTTAGCATAACTTCCACCCGAAAGCCCAACATCACGCCTATGTGCTACAAAAGTACTCCAGAGACTTTTCATGTAGGCGCCATGACGTGGAAATCACTGCAATTAGCGGCCGCTAAAAAATGTGAGCAATTTAAAATTGGACAGTTGCAAGCTGCTCATGCTTAGGAATGCCACGAGAGTGATCTCACAAATTGAAGCTCTTTGGTCGCGTACAATTATCGCCATTGCCCATAGATGGTGAAGACCCAAAAGGGGGAGGGCGCGAACTTCTGTGTCGTTTTTGTGATAATTCACTCTCTTCAATCACAGTTTTCATAATAAATTCCTCAAACAAGATCCGCCGACAGGCGCCAAAAGTGCGAAAGAAATGGTAGTCGAAAACAAGAGGTGTTTTAGATCAAAAGACGGTGTGCATTATAAGGGAATGTGTGCGATTGATTTGCTGTCAATTAGTTCAATCATTCCTCAGCTGATGGATGGATTGATGTTCTCTTCAATTTCCTCCACCATCGCGATGATGGCTTCATGTCTTCATCGCCGGGATCCCCTTTAAAGTAACACAATGATGCGCGGGGAGCTTTGGCACCCGCGCGTAATGAACAATTCAATGTATGGCAACGGCAGCACTTTTAATCACGAGAGACGCGAACGCCGTCCAGCCCGATCTCCAATCCGCGGCCTCTTCCAGCACCGTTGCCATCAGCGTGGAGAGATCTTTTTTGGCCAGTCACACGCTGATCGGCTCTTTGGCCTCAGCGCCGACAGGGCAGAAATGGTTCGAAAAAATGCCATCACGGGAATTAATAAATGAAAAATACATTTGACTACCGTATTCTTCCACTAATTCGCCTTTCACAGGGGCCTCATATGATGCCAAGTGATGGACACATGAGTCCACCTACCGATGGATAAGGTTTCTCCTCTTCCTTCTCGCCTTTTTCGCCTCTTTTTCTCTCATATGCAAAATAGAATTATCATCATGACGGGCACAATTTACAAAACACTGAAATGTTGACTTGGGTGTTGTTGCGCTCACTGGATCAATGAGCCTTCGCACGAGGGGTTCATCATTCTCAGAATGGGATGTCCTGCGCTGACAATGTGGCGAAGCACCAGCACGATTTTCCCCTGAAAACACTCCTGTTTGCAAAACAACTCTCCGAATAGGTCACTTCTGTGGGAGGTTCTCTTGATTATCACCATATTTCTTGACGACACGTTGACAGTGATGTCAAAGAGACACTCTCAAAGGATGCATTACACGGTATCAGTTTCCTTTTTGCCGTGGCACTTTTGCGAAATGGGTTAAAAAGAGAAATATACTGGAAGAAAAGTGTGACTTCTGACGCACGCCACAAATAAAAATAAAGGGTTAAGTGGAAAATTTCAGTTCTATTGAAAAGATTTCACTGTCTTCTAACCCTATAAATCAGTTTTTAATAAAAATCGAAGTTTTTTCTTATTTTTAGGAACTTCTAGAAATTATTAATTCATAATTGTTTCCATTATTAGATTCAGTGATTAGTTTAGGTTTAGAAACCAAACTACATAAAATTGAACTATGCGTAAAGATAGAAAAAACAGTAATATGAAAAATTATTATAAGAAGAAAAAAAACAAAAAATAGTTGTAAAAATAATAATTTATACAAGAAGCCGTAAACTTAAAAATGTTTAAGAGGAAATTTTATCGGAAAAATGCTGCACAAATGAGTAGGTTATCCCTGGTAATTTTGGCTACCAAACTTCTTAGTGATACAAAGTTCATCTGTAGGCGGCATCTTCGCGACTGTCTTTATTCAACGCTAATACAGTTTTTTCGGCGGCTCTCTTCATAACTCAATACTTAAGTGTGCGGAGGAAAAAGCCTAGTAGGAGAGAATATACCCTGAAAATACACTGTGGTGAAGTCTATATAGACACCTCTTTCCTTGCGTTCTCTTCGCAGTCTCTTCTCAATTTTGGATATTACGTTAAAAGACTGATTGGATGCACCAATTAAGTGTCGGAATGTTTGAATTATAAATTTAACGGTAAGTTAAATTAAGTGTTGAGGAAAAATTGATGCCCAGTGAATGGGTTTTCGAGAGGTGGAGCGGAGAGAGAAAGAGAGAGAGCCAAGAAATCTATCGATTGATTCGATGGAGGCGCCATGACTTTTTTTCACTCTACTCATTTCACTTTTTTTCCGGGATGATGTTCGCGGTGAGATGTCGGGCTAAAGACAGGGGTAATGATGAATATGGTAAACTTTCTTCAATGTTGATTTTTTGCCCTGAACAGCCTCTTGTGGCTTCGGAATCTTTTTCCACAAAAATGTGATAACAATCCCAGCATTATGATGGTCATCATGGCCATTATATTCGTATAATTTCATGAGTGTGCTCAGTGCGGTGTATTGATGATGGATACAAAAGGGTATATCTTTTTTTCTCTCCTCACAACTCCTCAGCATATTATTCCTCGGCGTCTTTTCTCTCTGGCTTTATGGCCGCGAAGATTGTGTGTGGTGCACAGTTGTTGAGATAAATGTTGCAATTTTTCACCGATCAGCCGCCACACTGTGTGTGCTCTGAGGCCGTTCTCTTACAATAAATAACTCATTCGTTTTATTCCGTTTGACATATAAAACTTGACCAATTTTCCTGTCACATCGCCTTGTTTTATGCGTTTGACTTTAATTCGTCCGCCATCCTGAGATGTATTCTTCCCTTCGGTTCAGAACCGTCTCAATGGTCCTTCAGGGGGACGATAGTGTGATTTTCGGTGACGAAAAAATTCCCCAAAAGCCACGAATTCAAATTCTCTTTTTTTTTTACCCCTTTTGCCAATCCATGGGAATCAAGTTGGGACATCTTGAGAGGAAAATTATATCAAAATTCCACGAAAGATCACGTGCCGCACTGGCGAGTGCCTTGAGGAAGTACTGAAGATGGGACAGAATTGCTGAGATAATAGAGTAATGCACAATTTTCTCCGAGTGCAACCGCCAAGCGAAATGCAAAGAATCCGCACAGAAGAGTGCGTTTCTCTGGCAAAAAGCAAATATCTTGGCGTTCATGTGTGCGCGGTGGAGAAAAAATCTGCATGGCAATGTTATGCAGAACTTGGCACGCCAATTAGTAAGTCACAGTTTCACTTAATTGTTTGATTTATTGGAATAAAATGCACTGTCAAGGGATATTTGATATGTGGAGTTGCAAATACAGCTCTCAACCTTCTTGCCATCCACCAAGAATTCCCATAAATAATCGATTTC